AGCTGTTTTCAAACCGATTGCAGGAACACTGCATAATGATTTGTGAATTTTCACTGGTCGCATTGCTTGCTTGTTAAATTAAGCTTTTGTCGGAGTAATTCTACTCTCACAGACATTCGGTTTGCCTAACGCATTACTCAGTAGAACATGGAGTGATTCTAACGTGATGCAACTCTTTGCAGCTTTATTTCCAATGTTCTTATAATTTGACTAATTTTTTTACCGTTCCTTGGTAAGAAGCCGCAAGAATTGTATTCGTTAAAGTTAGTAAAGAGGTTTGAGAATGAACTCTACTTTTGACTTAACTTTACCTGTAGGTATTTCATTAAAAAGAAAACTGCGATGCAAAATTGCGGTCGAGTGCTGTAATTAAAAGTTAGTTCTAAAGTTGGAAAGCTCATAAGTAATCGAGGAAATTGAAACATGTTCTGTTAAGTTCAAGCTCAGGGATCTTGACACAGAAATGCATCAAAAATTTAAAAATTTAACCATCTTTGTATCTAGATTATACCAATCAAAAATCAGGGCAAACAGCAGCTTTTTTTCGGTATTTAGTCGCAAAATCCTGAACACTAATGTTCGAAGAGCACACAGTAACGCAGAGGTTAGTGACGCACTCCTCATGCTTGTGTGTTAATATAGCTTTAGCAATGCGAATGTGATAGCATGGTAATTTATATTTAAATGTTGACTGAATGTGCTGTCTGTCTTCAAAGAAGAACGTGTCGTACTGTAAGGAACTGTCAAAAATTAGACGACTCATGGGATCAGTGACTCGATAACTCACAATGCTTCAGCGCAGGCCCGGTCCTTTGGAAAAACTGGTCGGTCGTCAAGGTATGTTAACTCTTTCTAGAAAAGACGGATCATATTACTTTGTTTGATTATCTGTAGCAGATTTCTACCCTCACAATAGGAGCATTCAATTGTCTGCTTTGCAATGGTTCTGAGTTCTTATTGGGTTATAGAATGTAGTGATTCACTGAACATAGAAGTTAGTAGGGATGTATATGAATGAAGTGGACAAGTCTATCTGCGAATCCGCTGGACTGATTTGAGTACCTGCGTAAGACGAGTGAGACAATTAGCCATGTGTACACCCAGACAGAAAAACGACAAAGGAGTTATGGAAAACATGAGTAGCCTAACAGACATTGGGACATCATGGCTACTCAGTCATAAATCAGACAGGTGTGACGACAGCACAAAAATTATTAGCAACATCTCAGCGAACACCAATCGTCATATGACTAATCTCATCTCTTGTAGGGGTAATTTTCAAATTGTGTTCAAGATCATGAATTTATTGGGATATCATGGTAATAAATAAGTAGGCATCAAAGTGATGACAGAAAATAGATGTCGCTTACGCATTGGTTAATGAAGTTCTTTCTATAATTCCTCACTTCCCGTACAAAAGGGTTCCCCTGATTGTACAGAACTCTCTACAAAAATCAATAGAGAGCAGAGACTATGCCATAGTCATAAGAATAAGATACAAACATCCACAAACAAGTTCAATCAATGTACCAGGCTGGGCATTTTGGCAAAGATCTCATCTAAAACTGTGGGATCTTCGATTCGGTTCTGCTGTAGGTCAACAACTGTAAGGGCTTTGCAATCGCGGAGATGTTCAATATCTTCGCGTGTTACCAGTTTGTTGTGAGAAATTATCAGTTTCTTGAGTGCAGGAAGCATAGCTACATGGAAGTAAACGCAAAAGCTTTCTTCGATGCTGGTTTTAGAGCATAATGTGAGGGCGTTCCTACGAGTAACCTCTTAAAAGAATACATACTCCCCAGAAACCCAGTGTGTGAAACCACACTGAACGAATTTACAAACAGAGGTCATATTAACATTGTTGATGCCTCTATCGATATTTACGGTGATTCAATCCAGAGGTTGCCTTAAAAATGTTGCAGACCGAAGCTGAAATAAACGCCAGACTTTACTGATGAACCGTCTGCTAACAACAAGACCACAATTACTCTCATTGCTAGAAATAAGTAACGAATATTTTTGAAGTCAAATAGTTTGCATTAGCAGGTGTTGCCTAATATTTTTGCTTGAAACACTACCTGAACGTTGTTTTTATTTGACAACAATATTGCCGCAACTCCAATACACAAATAAAATGAGCAAAATATTGAACACCGCCCCACTTACATAAATTTTCAATTTTTGTGATCATGTTGTGGCTGACATCGAGTGTGTCCAGGTGGGTCATGTGGTCGAGGTTTTCAATTTTACGAACCAGGTTCTTCGACATGAACAAGCACCGTAGTTCTGTTTGATACTCAAGTCCGGCGATTTCGTCGATTCCATTGACATCGAGAAAAAGACATCGCAGTCCCGTGTAATCCTCAAGATTTTCAATCCACCCAAAACCTATGCAGATTGAATACGTTAATCACGCGAGTTAAAAAGGTTAGCTGAACTTAATTTGTAGGAAAAATTCGACTTTAGCAGTAGCTTTCCAGTCTTTCAACTATTTCAGAAACAGGAAACTGCCTAAACTGGTTTCGTATCATCCACGAAAAGTACACTTTCGCATTATTAGTTTAAACACGTTGTGTCTGTAAATTTATGCATTTTCCTAAAACTTTATGCGGTCAGGGAGTGAATTACCAACACAATGCTAATTGGCTGTCTTCTGCTGATCTAAAGCCACATAAATGTTCCTTATCGGAAATTACGACTGTGTTATCCAAAGCACGATTTGACCTTTTGGTACATCACAGGAAATGGCATCTGCGCCAATATGTTATGAAGTCGTGTTTATTAAATAGCAGTAATAAGGCTTAGCATACTTCGTGACTTCCTTTGCCGTTTGCAATCACATTTAAGTATTCATGATCTCAATACCATTTAAATTCACTAACCATCATTAAAAGATTTGCTCAACTAAAGCTGATTTGCACTTTGGTCGCTTTTAAAGCAGACAAACTCTGTCGCATTTAGGGATGCTGACAAAGCCTTTACACAAGTCATTTTAAAATCTACCTGATTAGCCCCCCACACGCACCCACTATTCACCACATGACCACATAGCTCTCAAAGCGAGTAAAAAACATTTAAATATTCTTAGAGGTTTTTTCTACTTGAAAATAGCATTAGCTGTGTGGCATTCATAACAACTGCAGTTGTTTACTTTTGAATAACTATTTTGATCATGTCGTTTAAAGTCATTCCCGATCATTCTTAGGAAAACACCTAGACACAAGTCTCAGAAATGTTACTGTAGCATCCTTAAACAGTAGCTGGTAGAGCGTTTTTATTCACTTTTCCCTACCGTACATGGCTGGTTGGTCAGCAATAAAATATCTTATCTATGTTCGTGATAATGGCTCAGAATTGTTGGCTATAATTTTAGAACCCCAATCTGGATATATTCGAACATACTGCTGTATTAAAAATATGGTTATGTTTATCCAAACCGTAGAGTTAAACTGAGTGGAAAAGACTCACCTCGATAGTGAAGATAGAGTATGTCATTGAGGTATGGAGTCTGGTAGAGCTTTTGTTCTTTGCAGATTTTTTGGATCACTTCCTTTGTCATTCTAAGAAAAAGTGAGTACTCTGAAATAACAACAACTGACGATATTTACAGAACGCTATCAGGAAGACAAGGGAAATAGACCTATTCTGCAAAAAGAAGACTGTCTTGAAAAAGTGTGAAAACTATTTCGGTTTTAAGATTAGACATTTTTAAAGGTCCTCTTAGTGGAAACGCATGAGTAATCGCCTTTGATCGGGAACAGAACAGATTATGATTTAGTCAACTTGAAAGAACTAAAAACCAATATTTACCAAGACCGTCGACAATAAACTTAAACAAAACTTCAATATAAACTGGTATTTCTACAATTATGTTGGGCCTTGGGCACACAAATTATGACGAAAGTGCTTATATTCCATCCCATATTATAGTAAAATATAATAGATTAAATTAGACACTATTTACAGATGCTTAAACTAGCTTTAAGTATGACATACCTGGCCAACAGTTTTAGACAAATGTTTCAAAACGGATGTAAAGGCTTGCTGAAATTTTCACCAAGTTTTCATGCAATTGTACTTCTCAAGTTACTACCCTCAATGGGTTCCCATACAGACATTAACAAAAGGAGGTCTAATTAAGGCATGGTGTGTGGCATACATTTCGATGCACAATAATTTTTATAATGCACATACTACCTTGGCCACTTGTTCCTTGCAGCATCTTCTTCAGGGGTAAGTATTCGTTTTGGAGGATTAGGCTTGTGTTTTTCTCGAAATTCCTTAAGAATATCAAAAACGGTTGGCTCTGCTTCTGTTCCTTGGACATTCTGGTCACTTGCCTTGTCACCAGATTCAGATGCGATTGTCTCCAAGTGCCCCTCAACAAGTTTTGATGTGACTTCATCGTAGACTAATGTTTCTGAAACCTCGGTATTCACGGTAGTGTCAGTTCCTGCCACATGAACCGACGTCGTCGCGTCGTCAGTGAATCCATGGAATTCAACCACTACTGACTCTTCTACAGCCTTTTCCAGTACATCAGCAGTCAACATAGGTTCTACAATTTGCTCATTCGCAACTCCATGGAACTCGACTGGAAATTCAGAAAAATCACTGCAACTATAATCAAGGTCCTTAGATTCAATTACAGCACCGGAACAGTTTGGTAAAGCATTTAAAACGTTCTCTTCTTGAGAAGAAGTAAAAACTGCGCAGACATTATCTTGGTTGATTGGGATCTTGCAGATTTCAGTGAAGTTGGGATCCATAGTTTGAGGGTGATCAACAAAACAAGAATGTTGTAAGGACATTTCTAGAAGATGATTACTTGTGGCAGGCTGGTTTAAAGGTAGAGGAGTAGGCTGAAGTTGAAAAACTGGACCAGATGGTGAAATCTGAATAGATTTGATTGCAGTATCCATTAAAGGTGGCTGAAATGTTAATAAAGTAGAAGAGTCACCGGCAACGGAATAGGTATCGTTTAAAATGTGTGACGTGTCCTCCGACAAAGAGGTCACATCATTATTCTCCCCACTACAAAAGCCATTTTCTCTGCTAGGAAGGCCTTCGTCATCTGATTTTAACGGACTATTTTGTGAAGCAGTCTTTAGTTGCTTATCCTCTTCTTCCTCTGCATCAGGCTCTATGGTATCAAAAAACATTTCGTCAGCTGCGGTTGAAAACGACGCCTGCTCCGTGTCACTGTTCATCCCAACGTAATATCTATGGAATAAAAAACTCTATTATAGAACTAGCTGTTGGTAATAAAAGCACTACTCTTTTTTGAACTTAAATGATGACAAACAATATTCAAGACAATTTAACAAAAACATGCCAGCAAAACAAACTGATAATAACATGTTATTTTTCGTTAATGAGAACAATGGATGGAAACATAAGTGTCAAAGTCTCTCTTTTGACATTTAATGCCATTAATTAAGCATCCGCATGCCTTTTTTGCTATACACAGTGCTTAAGTGGTAATAAATTGAGAAATTAACATTTCCTTGATTTGCGAGCGGCTAGTCACGTGTTTGTCTCTTCTAGTGGCTCAACGGGCAACAGGATAGGACTACCATGAACGTCTTACTAAACACCACTGAACTTGGGTAACATCTTAAAGTTAACCTCCCCTTAATCTCTGGAAACGAAACTCATAGCTGACTTTATAAAATCCTATTTCAGTTTACCACGAGTCAGGTAACTAAGTCCCAAAGATGGAACAAGTATGTAGTTCAAGTAAATGAACTACATTTATATTTATGGAGAACAAAGACACAGCTGAGTAGGTTTGCCGTGATGTAAATCAACAGAAATCTTTTGAGAACTGTAATTCAAATCTGATTTATATCTAAACTTATTTGTCAAAAGGTCCAACAATGATCATTTGAAGGCTTATTATTTACAGCCAAATATGTCAATAAGTATTGACATCGTTTTAATTCTACAGTGCGTTATAAATTTGCTAGCTTTTAGCTTATTTTTGTCACTGTTCAAAACTTCAAAGGCACAAAAGTTATAAATGCCTGGAAACTATATGCGGTTATTGTAAGTAGCAATAGTTCAACCCCAAGGGCATGATGAAGGTATATATGTAGGCAGCCAAAATTACCCCGTGGTCATGAAGGAAAGTATTAATACCAACTAAAACAGTATTATACATTTTTGTTTGCACAGACTTAGCGGAAGCAATCTTGATACCAGCAAGTGCTACTACACATTAATAAAACCGTAGAAGTTAGAAAAAGTTATCTTTATTATTACCAAACCAACACCAAGCTGATGTCAGAAGGTTGTAAATAGTCTACATAAACCAATTTTGTCAACTAAATGTTTGTATTTAGTCAAAGTACAAACAGAGATTTGTAAATATGCACTAATAATTACTTTGCGAGGTTACTGCGCATTGTGTACAGGGAAAAGTAAATGCATTTGGAATAACTTCACAATTTCACATGATTAGGAGTAATGTTTTGCAGACTAAGAGTACGTAAAACTAAAAAAACACCATGTGCAACAGTCTTATCACTGGAATAAACGATTACCATAGTCGAAAATTGACATTCGCTTCAAAAAATGCTAACAGAATTTCAAACCCCTGTGAAATTCATTTATTTATAAACCATTTAAATTACTCCTAAACTAATAGCCATTTGAAATTGTAACAATTTTTTTGGTTCAAAAAAATTAGGAAACATCCCTAAAGCTGTTTGATAATGATAATGTGGGTGCAATAACAAAATAATTTGTAATTGACAACAGAGAAATTCTCCGGTTGTGAAAACATACAAGGCAAATTGCCTAGTTGTAATAAATGTAATCAGTGAAACAACTAAGATTTAATTATTCGTATTAAGTAAATAGATAAGCATGACAAAGGATTCAAAGTGTTCGTATTTCAAAACTCTGGGTATTTGATATAAATAAAACTGTCCAATTACGTCTGACTAATTGCTACGTCTGAAATTCAATGTCAAGCACTTAAAGAATTCTGACAGCTTTTCGTAAAAAAGTGTAGTAGCTGTATGTGCACTATGTTACTTGTGAAAATAATTTTTATTATTGGGTTCATGACCCAGTTTTGACTTAATTATTAAAGTTTTTTTTAAAATCGTCACAATTGAATGAAACTCATTGGTATGTTAAACAGAGTTAGAGAATTTTCGACATCACGACGGTTTTAAAAAATTACATATGCGGTTGCTCACTTTAGCTCAGAAATATAAAAGGAAATACGCAGCAGTTTTTTTTCAATAATTTAGATCGCACGTGGATGAAATAATTTTTTCAAAATTCAAATTCGGTGATCATATCAAATTTTGTAATGATAAGTGACTACTGAAACGATAAGATTTTCAATTTTTTTAGTAGTAATAAACGTAAATTAATGGAATTTCATCTATCTCTTTTTTATCCTACAAATTAGAGAAATCAATATCTGAAAATGCAGCAGACGTAAATAATCATCTTAATGTCAAACATTTATTTTTCTTATTGGGACAACTTATAAGCCACATCTTGAGTAATGATCGTGTTATTATATACTAAATAATAATTGCTTGCAATCATTCTTTTTTTTAGCCATCTGGTACATTGTACTCCGTAATAATTGAGCATCTCTCACATAAACAAAGCAATAAGTTCATAGTAAATGTGTAAAAAAAAATATATAAAGAACTGTCTTTAGAAACATATTAGCAGTTCATAGGCGATTATCACTCATAAAAAATTAGCACGTATGCAAAAGCAGGGTTTTTTCTTAGACTATTTGGTTAGCTTTACCGATTGTTCAATTACCGTTCAAATTAAGGTTTTGAACACCATTAAAATATTTGGCATTGGTTATATGCAGTCAAAATTCAAAAAAACAAAATCTTAGAATTACATGTGCACATTATTATTTCTTAATTTGCCTTCCCCATTCAAACATTAACAAAAATGTTATTCGGCGTAAACAAGAAGTAGGAAAAAAGACCTTCTATGCTCCACGTAAACATAATTCGATTTTGTTACGAATAATTTGCTCATTGTGCCTCTTGTTATTCACCTAGAAAGCGGGAACCTATATAAGGAGATGACAGTTAGCTCGTCCCTCTTAAATAGCTATCAGGCACGCGATTGAAGAAAAACTGGAAGTTCCGAATGTATTTCATACTACCGCATACAAATTCAGAGGGCTAGAGCTTGAAAAAAGAGTTAAAGTGGGGAAAAACATGGCCGCGAGGATGGTCGGCTATGCCTTCGGGCTCATAGGCGTGCCTTGAGGGAGGTGAGAGTTCGGGAGGGGAGAGGCGGACAAGGAACAGGGCAGATCAACGTGCATGGGTCGAATGACGCACGTTGCACTCATTCAAATTAACTAGAGGAAAAGCAACAGATTGTTCATTAAAAAAAACAAATCCATTTTCATTGTTGTAGGTCTTTTTGGTTTTTTTGTACAAATTTTCTTATATTCATTAATTGAAGAATCGATTACTTTATAAATATCAGTACAGTTTTTCTTAAGTGTAGAAATTATCAGTTCTTTTTTTTTCAAAAAAAGGTCAAAAAAGTAAATGTTTTTAGATTTTAGTGATTGTTTCTAATCATAGACGCCTAAAATTTCGGAAACCCAGTTGTTTTACTCCTTCTTGGAATACTTCGATTTTTCAAAATCACAGTCAGTAAATTTGCACACATTTTTGTGCGATGGAAGAAACTCCGGCTGGGAACATAAGCATACACGTGGGTCAGAATTCCGATGCTGCTACTATTGATGGACCTGTGGAAATTGTAGCAGATCTTTGTGGTTATGCATTTTTTTCGTAGGATCTCACTAACTATGCTTCTGGTTATTCTGGTTTCATAAAGTACCAAAGGCTTCTCTTTATTGCTCAACGGTGTCCTGCATTAAAGAATAAGGCTTTAAATTTGGCTCATGATTATATTAAGGCCCAGACCTTAGATATAACTTCGTATGAGCATATTTTTGGAGTTCTCAAGGTAAGTTTTGCTTATTTGCCAGCCGATTTTCTCTAGAATCCAGAGGACCTTGGGGCTGGTGATAATCCGATCGGACTAGAACAACTAAATCGTTGCAACTCCGACTTACGTAGTGATTCCGATCATCCCCCCGCGCAATCATCGTCGATGGATGTTGATCATGCTCAACCTGGAGAGGTTACCATTGTTTTTTTTCCATATAATCCAAACTAAAACCTAGATAATTTCATTTTTTAGCACTTTATATTCCTATATATTCTTTCAGTTTAACTGCAATGATTTCTCTTTTTTCATTACTTTAGGACGAGACAGGCCTTGTTTACGATCCTAATTGGGTGGAAAAAACATGCTCACGTGTAATGCGACATCGTGAAGAACTGGAAACCGAACTAAAAAACTACAAAGCGAACTCCATTAAGGAGTGCATACGGTAATTTAGCTTTGATTTAGTTTAAGGACTTAAAATTATTTCATTGACTTTTCTTTTCCTCTCCAAAAGAAAAGGTTATATCGAGCTTGGTGACTTCTGTTTGAAAATCGGTGAGCTGGGAAACGCCCTAAAGTACTATACTCGCTCTCGTGATTACTGTACTTCACGTCAACAGGACCTTAAATCGTGTCTCAGCATAATTAAGGTAAATGAAACTCAAATGCCCAAATCTGTTTTGAAAATTTCGGGTCTTAAATTCTCTGACTTTAGGTTGCTGTCTACCAAGGAGCATGGTCACATGTAAGTGCCTATGTTACGCTTGCTGAAAATATCTGCGAGAGTCAAGAAAACGAATCTATGCCAAAGGACACTGGCTCTCAGTGCTTAGGAAGTCATAGTGCGTGGTCCGGTAATTTCGATGCGTCGTCTCGGAATGTTGATCTGCGTCCAGTGTCAGAAGTCGCGCGCACTGAACTAGCTATTGCCGCGGGTCTGGCCAAACTAATATCCTCGAGCTTCCATGAGGCGGCTACACACTTTTTGCAGGTTAGCTTGATAAAAGTTTCTTGCATGCCTGACGTCCAAAGTATTTTCAATGAAGCCTTGTATTTCAGGCTAATTGCGAACCAGACGATTCAAATTCTGAGAAGGCGGCGCCCCTTGTTACCGCTTCAGATTTGGCCTTCTATGTCACCCTGTGCTCTTTGGCTGCTTTTGATCGTACCGAGTTGCGCTCTCGCGTTTTGAACAGTCCTTCATTCAGGCTTGTTCTTGAATCTGAGGTGCATTGTCGTGATCTCCTTATGGCTTTTCATTCGGCAGACTATGCCAACTGCCTAAATTCACTAGCAAAGGTTAAGAATCTCCTCAAGCTGGATATTTTTCTTGCGGACCGCGTTAATTCGCTTTACGAGCAAATTCGTGTAAAGGCACTGTGCCAAGTAAGGATAATTTCAAAGTCATAGACCTGTGATTTTTTTTACTAGGTGTTTAGTATTCCTCCCCATTCTGTGTATTTTAGTACTTTACTCCCTATATATCCGCTGACTTAAATATGATGGCAGCGGCGTTTGGCACCACGGTGACGGACCTCGAAAATGAGCTGGCTATTCTCATACAGAAGGGTTGTATCAAAGGTCGCATCGACTCCCACAAACAGGTTAGTAGTATTTCGCCCAACTGTCACCTAGCTTTATAATAGCCCAACCTATTATGTCTCTTGTCTCATGGACATAGTCCGACGCGGAATCCCTAATAACACCTTTTACCCCTCAATTTGTCCAACTTTTCCTGCACTTTGTCACATTTTTGTTAGAATCACTAAATTATCTCATTTGCGTTCCTGTCACGTCATTTTCATTTGTTTGCAAAAAGTTATTAAACATCAATTTTGCTAGGTACTCAAGATTCTCCAACATAAATCTTACATTGGTCGAGACATTCTGTCAGTTTGGTTTGTAAGTAGCAAATACCATACCGATTTTTCGTGTCTTTTCGTAGTTCGTGTCTATGCGCGTACACCACTAATCTGACATTTAATAGGATCAATTAAGTTGACTTCATTTTTTACATCAAATTTCTCTTCAATGCACAAGTTGTCCGTGGAATCCTTTTGGTTCAAAAACTGTACGATTTGTATTCCAAAAGTGTTGTACCTGATATTTGTTAAAATTACTCCCATTGTAGTACCACATGTTACAACTAAAGGTCCGCAATCAATGCAATTTGTATCACCTCCTTATTCTTAAAAGAGACCACGTAAATGCTTTCCCTTGGGTGTCTGAAATATATGTGCACAAAAGTGGGCCAACCACTGCCTGAAACCTTCAACAAATTCGTCACTCTGCATAACCCCAGAGTAACTTTAGTTAAAAGGCATGCTTTTTAGTGCTCATTTCTATTGGCCTTGCAGAAGTCGTTTGTAAAGTTGTTGCATTTGAACTTTTTAGCTCCTTTGTGCGTTATCGGTGGACCAACGATGCCAGACCTTCGCCACTGCCCTGCAACTCATTGACGAATGTCATCGGCGTTGTCAGGCTGCTATTTTGCGCTCAAATCTTATGCGCCACGGCTACATGCGTGGTTGGTCTTTGCTGTGGCAGTATGATCATGTGGGTCAGGTTTTTAAATGTCAAACCACTCGTAGCTCATTAGGATCCCGTGGCTTTTACTTAGTGGTCTCATGCTTCAAAAAGAGTATAAATTTTTTTTCGATCACCTTCCTGGGGTTAAATTTTACCATATTGGCTTGTCTTTCTCTTTCAAATTGTTCCTTAAAGATATCAGCCACCAATGTTTATCTGACGGCTTACTCAGTTATTGTTCTCATTCCCCCAGTCACTTTTAAAAAGCAACCAGCTTCTCTGCACAAAATACTGTCTTCGTCGTCCTCAAATACTTCCTGTTACTCTGCCTTGTCTTAGCTCTAAAGGCTAGGAAACAACTTCATGTCAAGCGTCTCCTATCTAACGCGTTAGGTTTTTGACGTGTTTTCAAGCTCAAATTACCCTTCTGGGAAGAAAGGCACTGATAAGGTTGTCTGTCATCTGGGCGGCTTGGGGTCGCCGAGTTCACTTTTGTGTGGTGGCTCAGTCTAATCGCGCGTCGGTTTTTTTTCAGCGGTTTGAATATCCGGGATTGATGGTCTCCAAAGCAGGCAACACATGAGGTCACGCCTCTTACCGAATCATCGATTTGTCAGTCATCTGTACTTGTGAAAGCCTTTCCTCATATTTTACTATTCAACTGCTAGACTTACTTGTGGCACTTTTTGCTACGTTTGGTTGTTTCTCAATTTCGTGTGCTGCAGTAAGGTGTATAACCTAGACTGAAAGCCAAAGCTAGGAGATAGGATTTGCGAAATAATCTTAGCAAATTTGGCCATCTAAGCAGACGTAAGCATATTTGGCCAGGATCTGATTCTCTTGCATTCCCACTCAATTTGTGTGGGTGTGTGCTTCTATTTTGGTGATAATGTATATTTGTTGCTAGTCGTAAATTTTTCACTCATCTAATCTAAAAATCGCTAAGAAATTACCTTTTACGCGTGAAATTGTATTGTGCTCTGGATGTGATTGAAATTGAGAAAAAATTCTCCAGGCCAGTTTTCACTTACGTAGTCTTAGAACAAAATGCGCTTAATGAGTGAATAGGGTATCAAGATCAGACTTGTACGTGTACAGCGCAGTCGGAAATTCAGTGATGCATTATTAATCATCCACATAGAAGAGATTGGACAAAGCAGCAACCGTTCATGGTAGGTTGTAAGAAAGCAGTGGGTCGATTTCGTGGAGAACCTACGTGCAAAATCCCCCTTCATGTTCAGCAATAAGGGGATTTGCATATTCTCGAAGCGAATCATTTTCACCAAAAGATAACGGGTAAAATATGGAAGAAATCTAGCTGACCATGAATACAAAAGTATGCCGATGTAAGATTTTATTCGACTTCTTTTCCCTAAATAATAAAATTTTGCCTCTTGGCATTCTGTTTTTTCGTGATTGGGACTAGATTTGTTGTGGTACATTTCGGACCAGTGTATTTGACGCTGAAAATCCACAGAATGTGTGAGCGTGCATTGGCTGGTGCCCTGCAGGTAACGGAACTGAGGGAACCAGGGTGATTCAGGCCATCGCACTTAAAGCATTGCATGTACGCCACTGAAAGGCCCATTTAGTCGCGTCCAATGGTCCTACAATGTAGTGGGTCACATATCCACCACTGTGCAAAAGTGAGAAACTGTGAGGCTCCCGCCACTTTCGCACACAGGAGAAGGTTATAGTGCAACTCCTCTGCCACCAAGCGAAAACTCCAACTTGCAATTAGGGGATCTTTTGTCTTTGTCTAAATATTGCCGTAGTCTGCATGTTTTGTGACCACATTGTGTGACGGCCTCCAGCAAAGTTGTCACTATTTTCTGACATGGAATAGGTGAATCTAAATTTTAACATATCCGAAATTTTCGTACTAGATTTTTTGGATGCATTATAGTCACTTTTACTATATGACCTAGAGAACGTAATTGTGTTAAGTATCAGATAATCCAAGATGCCTGGACTTTTTGACAATTGCATCTAAATCTTTACTGACCCAACTAAAGTGACCTTTACTACCATATAATCATTTGAATTAACAAATTAGCCAATCAATATTTTGTCCAATTAGCTGGCTGTCAAAACTCCTACAGATCCAGACTGGAGCAAATTTGTATTAAAACAATGGCAATGTGCGTTTTTTTACCGATTGTAGGCGCCAGATTGTTCTTTTATTTCCCTAGACTGCCTTTAGTTCCTTAGGAAGGGTCTTAATGCAATCTTTAATCAGAAAACAGGAGCGATCGGATGACAATAGTTCAATCCTCCTCATTTTAAGAGATTTTTAAAGGACTACAAAATGGTGGATTGATTCTCAAAGGAAACTTCTAAGAAATACTTAATTATGTTTAATGGAAAAGCGAATTCTACGCCTACCCAATCTTTAAGGCGATAGCCCTGCAAAATTCCTTTACGTACGGAAAGAGTTCAGCCAATCAAACCATACACGTTCGATTGATATCAAACTTCGTGCCATAACAATTTGTCATCCGCCCATAAGTCAACAGGTGTCGCCCCAAAGGCACTTCTCGCGTGTGCACAGCATGACAGTTCCGTCTGTCTTAATGGCTGCCGAACTTTGTGAAAATGAACGTCAAACACATTGACCGAAGTCCATTCGCGGCGAAATGAATAATTTGAAGCCAAATGACCGAGGAAAAAACCCGATGTAAAAAATCAGGGGCAACTTGTTTTGATACACTACGCATAAGCATACAACAATAAATGTAATCTGGTATGAGATCATGGGATGCGTAAGTTAAAAGCGATCGATAATTAAACATTGCGGTTTTCATTTGGTGGATCTTGTGGTTGGTTCGGCGCACTGGCCAAGGCCTCATCTAGAGTTTTAGCATTGTCGAGCAACCTGCAAACAAATTGCACCGGTTTTTTGTCCTTGGCTTCTTCATCTGACGACGCAGTCTCCGAGGGAGGCCGCTCGTCCCAGGGGTAGTAGCCGGTCTTGATGAACTCCTCCTGTATGGCGATGTGTCGCTGAAGCGCCTCCCGGTCAGCGGCCTCTTTATCTTCCGGCCAGGGACCGTATTTAGCCAGAAGGAATTGGCGCGCTTTCAAATGACTCCCTGACTCCTCAAAGTGGAGCAACTGACGCTAAAATAAAAGCGAATATTTTAAACACACAATTCCTTAAAGATTATGTAACATTCGTACACCTACAACTAGAGTCCCCGTTTTCCCCCATCAACATATCGTTTCGGCGAAATCACATGTGAGACGAGCACAAAAGGTAGTCGTCCATTAGTAAATGTGAGACAATTGAACTACTTCGTGTTGGAGTATGTAACAATTAAGGTTTTTCTGAGAAGAATATGCAAAATATTCAAATTGATGGAATTCTCATTCAAATCTCTGCTAGAAATCCCATGCCTGTGCAGAAAAATGTATAAATCAAATCGGACGAGATACTTCAGTTAATAGTGCATATGAACACAGTTGGCGACAAACCAAATAAACGATCGAAGACCAGGCAAACTGCTATGGCGATTTGCGTTATTACCTGCCACTACCGTTAATTTATCCCACCTTTAATCATTCACAACCGTAAACATCCCCTGATCAACATTAACCCTCGTTTCTGTACTACCGATGCCAATATTTCCGTGTACACCGACGGCCAAACATGGCTTCTAAATTAAACGACTGAATCCCCAAGGTCTCTTATTGATGTCTTTTGTTTTCCGCAACATGGCCTTGAAGAAAACACATTTAATACGATGTGGGACGATGATGACGACGGCGACAGACCAGTAGCTTCAAAGTCAGGTTAGCTTATGCTTGCCAGATAACACTGATTCATTCGCAACAATCTTTACATTTACAACTGAATCAAAATGCTAAATCAACACATCCGAAACTAGAAACCAAAATATTGTAGTAAAATTTTCTGGGAGTTCGGTTCCTCAACCAAAGAATAAATGAGTTTAAAAGTGCGTTAAGCGGACTTACGAAAAAAAATTACCGTTAGCAATACAGTTGAGTCTATTCAAAGTCTATGATTTCACACAGCAATGTCGCTTTTGCAAAGATACACAACGCTGCCGTAGTAGCAAGTTAGGTTTTTTTCGGAACAAGCGTGCGTAGCAACCGAGATAAGGAATATTCAAAACATGGGAAATATGAGCAGCGGGAAGAAACCGAAAGAATATGGCCAAAACGATGTCTGAATAAATTAGAACCACCGAAAACTGCTTATGAGTTCATAAAGGGACTTGAAGTTGTGAAAAGACCTAAAAACTTACGAGAAAACCTGCATTGGGACAGGCACCAATTCGAGCAGCTCTCATTGCCTTGTAAATTTCCCGTAGACTGAAATTAGTTATACACAGAAGGTACGCAATCGTTAGTGAAACGCTCCGCGAAATCCCACAGGCGCTACAGTTAAAGCAATCAAAACAGAAGTATGACGATCAATCAACAGAAAATAGAATCAATTTAGGAAAACTACATCATGTAGGATAGCCGAATTGAATGTGGACAACAATACAATGGTACACCGTTAAAAAGGTTTAAGAAGCAGGATGATTAGACCAAGAGGTGCTAAATTTTGCCGGTGTTACCACGAGGTAAGATATTGGACAAAATTAAAGAAATCACAAGTGAAGGAAACTCACCAATGTATGAGGACCGCACCATGATCCATCCGAGCACCATGGATAAAGTCCGCTGCATCAACAAAAAACCTGGAAATGTTCTCATCTGGCGAATCCCATACAGTAAACTGTCTGTGTACTCGCTTAGCATCCTAAAGAGAAGCATTAAAAAGTATGAGATAGCACAACAACAGTAGCCAATTTGAATAAACGGTAGTGACGCCAGATCACGTCACAGTCAACTCACGTTCGTGCTGACCACTCAACCGGTTTTATTACCCGTTGAAACATTTAAAAGATGGTGACTAAATGTTGTGTGGCAGAAAGTTATTAAATCAAAAGATGCTTCAAGCTTAAAAGCAAACAGACAATATTGCGACAGAGGAAAACATTGGAATGCTTAGTACAGTAAGCCATGACAGAATTAAAAAAATTATACATAGTAAAAATTGATGAATTGACTAAAAGGACCAGATGAAAAAAAAACTCGCAGGTGGAATATTTGCACTACATCCCCTGTTTTCATCACAACAAAAAACCACACAGCTTTTGAGACACCATCATAAACATGTTCTGCCATGCCTTCCTCCAAACAGATGCAAAATCAAAAAAAAATAAAGAGCTAATTTGTGCAATATAAATTACTGAAACTATTATATAACAGGGCAATCTGGCTTAGTCCCAGTGAGTAGATTATCATTCAAGCGCACACATATTTTTCTTAAAAAATCCAAGACAACGGTGGCCAGAAGTGTCATTAAAAAAACGGAAACATTCAAACGACCAAGTACTCGAGCAAGTAGAGGGGCTGTATATGCATAGCATAGCACAAATCGACGCATATTTTGCAAAAAAAAAACACCTCAAACTTCAGAAAACAATAAGGAGCCAGTACATCTTAATTTTAAAATACAGAGCTAAATTTAGATGCTACAAATAACTAAGTCGAAAAAGCCAGACATGTTTCCGAAACGTCACTATGCTATTAAGGTTCCACACATTTTTAAAGATTAGTTCTGACTTGATTTACGAAGTGCATCAAACAAAAAATAATCCACACATGGTTTAAATAACAAAATTACATACAAGTGTTAATGGATATTGGAAGGCACTGCAAATATGTGTAATTTGGTATTCATCTAACTGCTTTTCAGATCTGGCACTGGACAACCCACCAACATATATGCCAGGAACTACTGATGACATTACACCTCCCATTTTCAGAACAGATTGAAGCAACTGCTTCCAAGCGACCGCTATTCTAGGCAAAGACCTCAAACACAAACTGCATTTAATTAAAACATTCCAAAGCTAAAATTTGTAGTTCACTATCTAACAGCTAAAATTAATCGTGTTTCATAGATTCATTAATGTATAGGTGCACGCTGCTATCATCCTATCCATAAATTCGGTGCAAACGTTTTTATAATCCGTGTTCAAAATGAGCATTAGGTGCTATTCTTTTTTATTCTACTGACATTACCAAAACTTTAGTATTTTTTGTGAATATAACAAGTCAAAGTGATTTTCAAACCTTGCGTATTATTTTTATTTGCACATTTCGAAGACCACAGTTTTAAGCATACATCGAAATTATACAGGAACAAACGAAATGGGGGTTAGTCGCGAATCCAAATCGTAAGAAAATACTTATGCACACAAGCTTTATAGCCACAGTGATAAATCTTCTAAATGTAATGCGATGCATGGTCAGAAGCTTGGTGTTTTCGATGAAGATGCTCGGTAATTAATTTGGTATACCCGTAAATGCAGTTGCTGAGTACATGCAAATAAATCATAATGATTCACTAATAAACCGTGTTATTGTTTTGATGAATTAGCTCAATTTTAAATTTCACATTGACATTTAAAAAAACCATGGCACAAAATGAACAAAAATCAATCGTGCTCTCCAAATTGGATTAGTCAATCTTTGCACTGGGTAAATTAACCCAGATAAATCTGATCGCCTTTTTAAATAACGTATTATTGCGCTTCATAAGTCGTTGACGGTAGACATTGTCACCAGTGACTTGATTTCTTGGAAGCAGCTTGAAATTCACAAATCTAAAATACTGTTATATTGGCTTTTATTAATACAATTTTGCTTTCAGCGTGATTTTCACTAGCTTATTAATCATGAATCACTATCGTTTTCACTCTAGTCAATCCGGGGACAACCTCTTTGCTTTTGATTTGCAAAATCTTAAATTTTGCATCGTTTCTCAAAGGAGTTTCCTTCAACGAATGATGAACGAAAAAATAAAGCGTCCTATCATTTGTTATGATCTGTGGTACAAAAATCGGATTACAACCTCTACAAATGAATTTTTAAACGAACACACACACGACCGTTTTGTTAAGCAGCCCCAGTTATACACTCCACTTCCCGTCTTGAGCCTCAGTAGCGTCGTTGCCTTCAAAAGAAGGCTGTATTTACCGAACAAGTTATTCGCGCACTTCTTCTTGGAAGAATAGACTCTTCACTTGAACTTACTAGCAGGAATCAGCAAAGTTTTATGGTGATACTTTTCATTTGTATAGACTTATATCATAATTGAATTTACTGAAAACCCCTGTTCTTGAGGACCCAATATCTTATTGTAAGCAACTAATCCATTAGTTTGATTACTTATTTTGACTTGCCTAAAATGTTCACAGTAACTGTTTAGCTCGATCACACAAACCTCAGTACCTCCTTAAGTATACAACATACGAGGAGGTCAAAAACGCTATCTGTTATTGTTTTTTTTTTAGTAAAAATCTGTGAAAAAAAATACAACGTCAATTTCACTGAGCTTAAAAGCCTTTAGAGCAGGTCGCTTCCAAATTGATGATAATCTGGCGGTAAGTTTGCTACGCCTAGAAAACAATGACAGCCAAAAATATTAAAACCACACCCCCGGCGAATTTACATATTTTATAGAAGATGGACATGTCATGCGCCCAGTCTCAACAACATCTATTAATAGCACAACAGTTGTATATACTACAAAAATAATGTCTGTTGGCTGTTTAAACGTCCAGATACGTGCCAGGAGTACGAGTCCTGACGGCGAGATCAACCAAGACATTCGAAATTCGAGATTCAATGGATCTAGAAGCCTCCACAAATACTTAGAGAACAAATAAGAAAAGAATAACAAATTAAAATCACCAAAGCTAATAGTGTCACGGAACTACGCTACACATTCGGTCTGGTTAATCCTCCGAATGACGTCTTCGGTATCACTGGTGATGAAGATTTGAAGAAACGCGACTTTCAACTCCTGCCGATTCAGCGCCCCTAACTGGTTTCGATTAGTGGCCCTGGAAGTGTTCCGACTGACTGGGGCCATTGAAGGGGAAGAAATGAAAGGGGGGTCGCGGAGGATTATGTCGGCAAACGTTGAGGCTAAAAAGCACGATGAGCTGTCTCGTGACACCCATGCCAAAGTTTAACGACCACCTCGTTGACTAAGCAAGTCGCTATTTAAGACGCTTCCCCAACGCCACGAATGAAGTTATTGTCAAGGAGCCCGTGATTCGCAGAGCCGTGGAGAGCTCAATAATTAAAAACGCAGAAATGTCAAGCCGTTGTCCATAACCGGCTGCACTTGATGTGGAAGTAAAGTGCAAGGTTGTACACGAAGGACTTGCTGAAGGAAAGAAGTTATGCCAGACCTACCATGACATCTCGAGAAAAATGTCAAAGTTGGTAACACATTAAATGCACAGGGCTTTACCTAGCATATTGACGTTTGTTCCGTTTTTATCTCCGTGAGAGAGACACTGTCTGATGAAGGACACAAGGTAGAAGAAGATATTTTGGTAGTCGATTGGCAGTTTTGAAATGGCCTAGAAAAGGGAAGAAAATAAAGGCGGATGGCGATGGAGGTGAAGAGGGGGGGGGAGGGGAAGAGGCTGAGTTAAGACAGGTTTACCTGGTAGGCGGAAAGATCGTTGGCATTGTTGGTTGGCTGTACCGAGGCGATGCAGGCTTGTTGGAAGGCGTAGGGAATGACTGGCTCCGGTAGGGCACTGAGGAAAACCAGAAGGCAGTACACCACTGAATGTACACTCACAGTTTCAGCTGGAAGAGCCAAGATGAGGAGAAATTGATTAAAGAAAAAATGCAACAGGGTGCATTATGACAAGAGTGCAAGTAACCCTCCCCTAGGCCAGCTCAAGTGTCAATTACGACAGCCTGAGCTCAAGCGAAAACCAATCACACATCGCCCGATAAGGCACGCCCAGTGATCTTATAATTTGTTTAGAATTTTGGTCCCAATAAGATGTTAAGAAGCACATTATTAAAATACTCCACGCAAAATCACCTTCATGCTCACACTGATAGGACACCTTTGTCACTGAATTGCTTCCCAGACGACAAGCCAGCTAAACGAGCAATAACTCGAGGAAAAGTATTAAGACCTTGTCTCTGCAAACAGTCAACCCAATCGTCGTTGAGACGAACAACAAAGAAAGCCACAGGTTTTGGAAATCAGTTTTAGGCTAATAGACTGAAGGCAGAGCGGAATTCCCATGCAGACAACCGACGACCCGCTAGTGAGGACCCACACAGAAGGCTAGCAAATTCAAGTTTTAAAGAATGACGCAAATCAGACACCCTGACTGCTGCACTTTGGAAACGGCTTGGGAATTAGAAAAAAAATACAAACCAACGTAAGTGAGCTTCACATTTCCCGCATCATGTTATGGGATTCGCGTAAAAACGAGCTTTTGTGAGTCCAACACCTTAAAACGAATACCAGTGTACGAATTTAATCATACGAATTAATAACTGTTGGCCATATTATTAATTTCAAAGTTCCACGATGCCAAAAAGCACTTACGGATGGGGACTTCATGGGTCGTTGTATCCAAAGTATCGCGAATAACTGGAATATCAGAGCGAAGTTCAGGTTGTCGGAAGAGATCCGGCTTAGAGAAGAAATAATGAAGGAACAAGAGTAATACTTTGTATAGGGTACAGTAGTGGCTGCCAACTAAATAAGATAATGTAGAAGAATATTAAAAGTTCGGCAGACATGACTCACAGTTAGGATGAAAAGAAACATGGACCAATGGTGGAAAAGAACACAGAGTAAAGGCCTCGTCGGTGTGTAGCGATCCAGGTCACACAAAAAACGGGACACAGATTTTGCTTCGTTGTACCCGAGTTTTGGTTAATTGTTAACCACTCAGCTATCCCAACTTATCAGAGTTTATTTTTGCAGGAACCAAGGCGACTAAAGCCGTAGGTGCGTGTTGGATTAAAGCTTCCACCGTAACACCCGGCAACCGAAAGGACCTGTCCAACTTACCTCGTCAAACCGCGCAGCAATAAAGTCAGCCATTCGGTAAACTTCCTTTGCGGTGAAGAATACGCAGCCGTGATCTTGGGGGACAACACTGGGCTCGCCTTCACGCCAGTTGCCCACTCGAGAGTCCCGAATCTAAAGCGGGTAGTTAGGAAACACGTGCAAAGCACATCTAATGCCAAACCCGCTACAGTGCAGAATATTCGACTTTTATTCGGCCACTAAACAACTATTCAAACCATTAGAAAATCCAGCAGTTTGAAGTTGAGGGCTGAGAGCTGACTGTGTCGTACGTATACGCAGCATCCTCACAACGCAGAGGGGTGGTTTGGTCGATTTAGTCATGAGGAGTTAAAAGGGGCTCAAGAAATGGAAGAACTTAAGACATGGGAGACGTGGGATGATAGCAAAACGCAGTGCATAAGTGTTTCCGGTTAAAGTAAATTAAAAACCGTCTTCAACCACTAAGGATGGTGGAGAAAAGTCCCTCGCCCCCGAACTTCTGACTATAAGAAACTCGAAAAAAACGAACCATTTGTTTCAGTTCATCGGAAGGAATGCAGGCGACAGGAGTGTCAGGCAGACGCAGCAACAGAGAAAGAGGCAGGCCGAAGCAGGTGGGAATGAATTGGCCCGATATTGAGATGAAGTAGTCTTTCCCACCGACCAGAGTGAGGACGATTATGCAGGAAAGAGGGGAGAGACCGCTTTGCAAGCTCGCCACACAGTCCGGATTAACGTACACATCGAAGGTAATTTCACAGGAGGCACCTGTGAGGCAAATGGTCTGCTATCAACGACCCAACCAGGACAAATGCACGGGATCACTGACGTGCGCTTTGCTGGCACCGAAATCGGCAGGCCATACCTCATTAACTTGCTCGCATTCAGTCATCAAATTTACATAAACATGCATGCAATTTTATAAAGGCAGGGGTTCCACGCAAAAACCAAGTCCGCAAATTTTCTGCGCGTAATAAAACATCTGCGCTCCTCCTGTTACACCTGATTACTCTCGCCAGTAATAGAGCGCAGCCGCATCGATAAATCAACATTGCACCAATACACACACACACACATTTGAAAGATATGTTGTGGGCCCCAGTATGTGGTCTTGAACCACGCCGGGGCCAAGGAATTAACCCTGGTCCGATTAGGCCTCCCGGATACCCGCGATGAAGAACAAGATCGGAGAGGACGTGGACACAACCGTCTACTTCCGAGCTCAACCACGTTGGTGTTGTTGTGTTGTGTGTGGGATTTGTGCGTGTGTAGTTATACCTCGGATGTGTGAGTCATAAATACGTTAACGTCAAAAGCTAGGTGTGAGGATAATCCAAATATCCGTGCGCTTGAGGGAGGAGTTGAGGATCCGCGTGGCTGGCGACATTCTGCGAAAAGGGGAACCCTGTGTCGGAGGTGGAGCGACCGGATTAAAGGACATAAATAAACACGATTCACAACAGATACTATTCCACTGGTGTAGAGTCGTCAGTCCGTAGATCACGAAAATGGGTATAGACATTGCGGCCGCTGCCTATATTTGAGGCGACGCAGATAGGTACGAAGACAGACTCGGGAGTAATAAACATTACTCCTTTAGCTTTCAATGAGAAGATTCGTTTAGTAACGATGCCACGCTGCCTCGTTTGTCACTGTTTGCAAATGCAAAAACCTCCTCATTCACACATTCATTCTATTCCTCCAGCTATTTCGTCAATAATTGGAAAAACCGTATCATCTAATGTGTGGGGCGAATTAAGGCACAAAAGTAATTCCTGTCAACGCAGAGCAACAAATTGCACAAGGCCAACTTTTTAGCCTAAATCAATAGCAGAAGCTGAAGGCGCACTTAAGTAACAACCGAAGAAGCACACCCGTCATTATAACAACGCAAATACTAAGATCTGGCAGCTAATAGACAACAGCGCATGCAATACAAGGGCCGAAGCTTATGGTCCTACACGTCGAGGACGAACCTTTCTCGACCCTGGCGTGAGGGGGCGCGACATGAAGCCAAGGCGGGAATGCCGCAGCGCCCTCCTGTGTGAACTTAAATTCCAGCGCCGAGTGGCCGGTATTGGTGAGGACGATGGACTGCTGGCGAATGTCCTCGAAGCGCACCGGTCCAAACTCCACTTCTTGCGAAGTGAGGCTAGCCTGAGGCAAAAGCATGTTGTAGAAGAGGTCCTGACTGCGAATCACCGCCTCGTAGGCCTTTGTGAACAGTTGCTGGTCCACGCAACGCACCTTTATGTCGTATAATTTGAAAAAGAAACAGTGAGGCAATAGCCGGGGGAAAAGCATCATTAGAAAATCGAGCCTGCAAGGGATAACTTACGCCGACTTTGAAGTAAGCAGAAACGGGTTTGTGATCGCTTAACCGAAAATTATTGTGTGATACATACTGGAGTTGTTCCACAAATTTGCCTTTCCAGAGGATTCTATCGCAGTAAGACGGAACACGACCATCACTAAAAGATTGAGGCATAATAATCAAACGATTGCAAAGGCATTGCCTGCTTAAAAATGTGACTGATTTGAGGGAGCAGTGTGGCCAAGGCTTGCAGTTGGCAGTAAAATCTTAGCATACAAAACCCATGTTCGCCAATCTTAAAACACCACTACGTTTTACGCCTAGATCTCAATTTCATACTTTTCTGGGTAATCAGGCATTTGTGAGCATGGCCTCAGAAACAAGAAGTCAAAAACTCGAGAGTGTGGGTCTGTACGTCAGTCTGAGACGACATCGCATGACCTTATCATCTTGCGGATTACATTAACATGACAATTCACCTACAGGGTATTTAGGTGCGACGATAACCCACTTAAAATACGGTAGGGCAAAATCAGTAGAGCAATTTCACCATCCGAACCGCGTGTGAGACTCGTTGTTGAGGTAATTTACCGACTAGGCGTGCTGATGGGATCGCGTAGTGTGGACCGCCTTCACCATACCGAAAGCGTGCATGAACGCACCTTAGCATAAAGGAATAACTTTAGTTATTTAACATAACAGTAAGCCTTTATGAAGCAAACTATGCCACACAGTGGGACATTGATTCCACATAAAATGACAGGCTTGCCACAATACTGGGTTACACTTACGCGGTGAAATAATTATCCGTGAGGAGTTCGAATTTGTAAGTCGGTGCGAATGCGATTTTGCCTTCGCTGAACCCCTGCAACGTGCGACCCAGCTTGCGTTGAGCCAAAAGCTAAATGATTAAGGCACAAAAGTGTGAGAGGGGAGGAGTGTGCGGGCGAAGATTTTGCGTAATAAGCATGCACAGAAGTCAAGGAGTGGCATGGTGCTGCCACAAGTTTTACTTTTAAGTAAGCAACTGTGCACTGGCCAATGCACATGTCTTGATGGAACATACAGATCACGGAGAGCCTCAAAATTTGGCACTATAAAACACACATTAAAGTCAAACAAAAGTGTTTACCAAGAGTAACAGTGTAAGGAAATCCTGTTACTTAAACACCATTATGATACGAATATACATGTAGACACAAGTAAATAGAGGGCAGCTTAGGGTTGCATGAACTTTGAGTAAGGTGAGGGCAGGCGACTTACTTCATCGTAGTCAAGAAGGAACGTGAAATTGTTTCGAGATATCGCCGATAAGGTAGCAGATGCGTCCAGCCCCGTAATTCGATAATTTAGATCACCAAACAGAAAGACTTGGCTGAAAGAAAAAGCTAGCAGGAGTCATAGGAAAAAGAAGTCGGAAGGCACTAACAACACTCTGATCTGATTAATTCAGATCAATACTGGCTACTTTAAAAGCCTCTCATTACAACGCCGCTTCGAAGCACCACACTTTCATTCTACTGACATCTCCGGTGTGAAAGATAAAAACATTGAGCGCAAACAGTACGTTTAATTAAAGTGGGAGCGAGACTCTGCTGCGGCCAGATACAACGCGAAGCACCGAAAGGGAGATAACGCGTAGCTCACCTAATTTGTTGACGCAGCAGTAGCGTGGTTGTACAAGATGACAAGTCGTCAGTTTATCTAGGATCGGTTAATGTCGATCTCTGGACGAACACAGTTACTGGAATTGTATTCACGTAAATCGACTGCATCGTGTTCGCTTGCGCTTGCTAACTGTGCTCGCTACAGCTCACTCCGCACCCAGTTTCACAGCCTCCAGTTCGGTCAAATGCATGCAACAAAAAACGAGCTTCTGACGCACTATCAAGTGCCGCCTACAACGGCTAAAACAGTTCAAGGAATGTAGGGGTTGGAAATCAGCGCGAAGACACATTGACAGAGTATAAAGAAGCTCCGGGAGTTTCTTCTCTTTTCGGTAGCTCAAAACAAGTGGCAATCGATTTTATCGGAAAAATCACTCGACAGTCGATATTTACCATTAACGAAAGGCTAGCAAATACGTTAGCGGTGTGGCAATGACCTCAACTCAATAAGGGTGCTGTGGCTTAAAATCTAAAAGTTGTATTGAGACTACAAAAAGCCAAAGAGTGGGTTGAAATTACTCCCTGACGTTGAGAGAGATAATTAAATCACCGGTGCATTGCACAACCACCTTGCCATCCTAAAACGAACAATTGCACGTACTCATGGTCATTGATTCGAAGGAACTGCAGCTCCTCAAGGAGGGAGTTGCGTTCAAACATCATTTTGCGACAAATCTCCCCGTAGTCCTGGTTTCGCCGTTCACAATTCGCCGACCCGGCAGCTAGGTGACAGTTCACGAAGCACAGGGAGTGGTTGTAGACGGTGAGACGCAGTCCGACAGCTCCTTTGTTACCCTAAAGTGCAAGCAGCGGGATCAGCACATCCACTCGTGTCTACCTGACCAACTATCAACTGCCAAACGCGAATTCATTTAACCGCCATTAGGGGGTGGCACACACTTTGATGCTTAAAGCAAACTGAGCGCGGTAGCGTAACTGATGAGCAGGACGTAGGTTACAAGTGCACGTTACCTGTCCAAGTGTTTGCGAATCTCGGAAAGGAGATGCTTAAAAACCGAAACAAAACGTCCTGCAAAAACACTAGACGACCACGACCACGCGATTGTCTGCCGGTGCAGCCCGTGTTTAATAGCACCAAAGCACTTTGTAGCGTCTCCTCATGCACTCTTTGACGGAAATTTGACTTTTGTGAATTTGAACTGAGATTCAGCTTCAGCTTCGCTACGTATTCCATGAGTGCTAGTGGAAAAACAGGCTTAAAAGCAGTTGAAACTGATACTAAACAGTTACGTGCAAAGTTCAGTTGACCTATCCAAGTTGGCGAATGATTGCATTCTATAGGGCAAGCAAACACTTCGCATACATCCACAATGTAAGCAAGGAAATTAAAAACAGGCGCCAAAAAGGGCATGAGTTAAGTGCCACTAGGGACGCCACGAGAGGAAACTAGGACATGTGAACTGAACAAGCTGCAGTTTTAGTTAAGGAAACCGAAATTACAGCAAATATTCAAGCGATAGGGTAAAAGAATCATAATTAACCTGCAGTTGACGATGAAGCTTCACAGCCACAGTCGAGGAACTTATTGAACTTTAATAGACGGTGATGTGATTATGTTGGTAAATTTATCGGTTCAAGTGACCATTCACGATTTTTTAAATGTCACTTTCCAGAATGCGAAATAATTTGCGCAATGTCAAACGCTGGCTTTTTTTCGAATAATGGATTTATGTCGTTCACATAAAAACAAAGTGACATTCGCTCATCACTTATGATGATGGAATCACACCACAAATGCATCTATTTTCCAGCCACACAACAAACAAACTTCCCAAGCAATTCGTGTGCCTGAAGATTTGTACTTTTGGGTCTACCACCACCTTAGAGTAGTCGAGTTCAGAATTTACGCATGAAAAATCAAAACTAGGAAAGTGCTTCATGATGAGTTTGTACCAGACTGTGGTGAGTTGTGGTTCACACCACGAAGCAAAACATCAATGCTCCCCTGTTCCTGATACAACACGGCTGGCTGTGCTGTTAATTGTGTTGTGCAAAGTGCCTCGCGATCAGCGAAAAGGGCAAAAGTTGTGCAGGAAAATGGGAGTCGGGTATGCTTAGGGGTGGATGTCTGTAGTAATAAAGACAGCGCTGTCACTGGGAGTCAACCACGACCCTCCCAAATGATAGAAGAATGCACAAGTGGAGGTTCAGGAGGAATCAACACCATTGACAAGTAACAAAATCAGGAAATGCATTTAGCGAACTATGCACTAAGATGAGCGATAAAGTAGATACACGAAATACAACCAACTTTGATTGTATCCACGGTACCACCACGCCGAAAAGCATTCATGCTAGGTAGAATCCAAGGAAGCATAACAAAATGAGGCGCGGTGGGTAGTGCCAAGTTACAGTCATCACATACCCATACCCGCCACCCCACTTTCACGACGTCTCCATCGATCATGCGGAACCGTCTTTTCATTCACACTTGAGCATGTACCACCACCACCACTACGCATTTCACTCATCTGACCATCCAGTCATTTACACTGCTGCCAGTTCACCCAAACTGCATTGATCTACAACTTGCTTCAGTCAAACACGACTTTGAATGCACACACACGACAGCCACATAATTAGGTTGTCCTCGCCATCTGCTGCCATGGTAATCTTCTCGAGCACCTGTGTGCCGGGCCTCTAACAGAAGTGATTCAACAAGTACACGACATAAAGTAGCAGAAGCTAAGTAGGGCCACATCCATGAAGATTTCACAAATCACCGATCGCTAGAAGCAGACGGAACAGAAACACGGTAGAGGCCCACACCACCCCGACGCCTTAAATTGGCGTAAAGATAAGAGTTGTGCAAGCATACCATGACATTAAACATGCCCGTGGGTACAGACTGGACGGAGACCTCTGAGACAGCTGCCCGTTGGTACAGCCGACTGGAGACGTACACGACGAGGAGAAGGCCCGCGAGTCGAACAATTGAGAGGCGTTTATAGCCACCGCAAGTGCCTCTGGACAGCCGACCAGAGGGGCGAAACGGTGCTGACTTGGGGGGAAGCAGAGTTGATTGTTTTAGCAAACCTCCCATCGACGTCTCCAGCAACCAGAGCCACTTGGCCTCGACTGGCGATGCCGTCTGCTTGTTCAGCGCCATGCCGGCCAAATTCAGGTCGAGTTCCTGGAACCTAAAGCAAGTGAAAAGAATCAACACACCTTCGAAACATCACTAATGGGCAAACTCTAGTCATTACCCCTATTTCTGGCAGGAAGCCAATTTCTCAAATTGTACCGAAATTTCAGACATGGTAGAGATTCCCCAATTGTTTAATGTAATTTTAGTAAATAAGCTAGAAGGTGGGTGGAGATTTCGAGAGGAACAGCATATTTGCAGTAACATTGTCTGACAGGCAGCAAATGAGTAAGCGAGGCGCTTGTTTGGTTGGAAATATGCAAGCACAGTCGTTTGGAATATTAATTCAACAGAGCAAGACCAAGATAGCATATCTATTAAGCAGAGAAAGCGCTTTGGGATTAGAAACTTAGTAAAATAGAGAAAATGCAAAAAAGAGTCAAAAGGACTCAAAAATTATCCAAGATAATGTGATGACTTAAATGTAATGGATAGGTTTTGTAGTTAAATCAAGCTCATTTTTTTAAAAAAACAAAGAATGACCGCTAATCAACCACATATTTTCCAATTTGTTCAATGACTTTGTCAGCTATCAAACTTCCAGATTCCACACCCAGTATAAACCTGAACAAGTGCGATTTAAGGACAATGTCATTAGTTAAGTTTTATCAATCAAAATTTTAAAAATTTCGACAAAAATTTTAATCGGAAAATGCGGGGTTAGTATTGTGTGAAGTGTGCGAAGAAAACGCGACACCACTTGCCAACCAAGCACCTGTAATTTTTCAGGAATTATCAAAAATGTGAGGACGTGTATTGCCTTGCATGAAACACAGTTCCTTCGCGACCTGCCAGTATACTTTTTATAAAAACACAGCCTCATTAGTTGTTGATAGTAGATATCAAGACTAATGATTTGGTGCCTTGGAAGTAGTTCCGAATGCGTAACACCCTTGAAATCCCACCAAATTGGTCTTCTTTCATGTAATTCTGATTCCAATGTGATTTCTACTATCTCATCACGCTTGATCGCTTCCAACAGACTTTAGCGTAGACGATTCATCTCTCAGCACCACTCATTGTTAGTTCGCAAACAGGGATGAATACAAAAATTTAGTCTGCATATCAGAAATATTGAACTCCCTATCGATTGTTTTGGTTCGTGATGCAACTCCCAGCCCCTCTGTTACCCCTCGAACAATTTCATGACCGCAATCTGATTCAGTTATGCCCTTGACTTAATCGTCGTCAACGTCGCATGTTTTGCTAAGCAGTCACCACCACTCACATTACCTACTTCAGTTAGCCTCAGTTGCGTTTTCGCCTTTACGGGAATCAGAAAACTACATTTGTCGAACAAATTGCTTTTTGCATCACTTCTCAGAAAAATTGACCCTTCAGTAAAACCTACGAGCAAAATTACGCATAATTTGCTTCTAAAGCAAAATTGAAGTGATCCTAGTCAAATTCCTAGAGATTTACACCACAAAAAGCAGAATGTCTTTAAAACAAACATTTGCATTGCATTTGTATGAAGGAGAAACACCCGAGATAAGCATAATCAATAACTCAATAAATACACTACCTCTACTTAGCCCCGGTTTTCTAACTTAAATGGCGAGAATTCGTAAAAGGTTAAACCAGTCAGTTACTTGGGAGAAAATAGCAAGTATCAATTTTCGCAGCACAAAATATGGTAGCGGGTAATCATTAAGGAGGTGAATATAACACACTAGCATCTGACCGACAAAGAAACCAGAGCACATTGACAAGAAATCGAGGCTATGATTATGGGCCTTTGCGAACCGAAGATCCAAACCGCAGTCACATCGCCACTTGAAACCAACCTCATGGGACACAAGATAGTTTTTTTTACTCCTACAGTACTACATTCGTTTCAGTTAATTCACTTCTGAAATGTTAGTCCAAAACGAGTTTGACACAGTCTTTTGGGAAGCGCGTTAATCCTGACCCCTGAATTTTTAAGAGCTAGTGAGAGATGGACAGACAATACCTAGATTAGTGGTGATCGAGGGCGGATTAAAACTGACGAATAGAGACTAGACAACAGCCCGATTAACAGAGACGGTGCTAACAAGAAGCAGAGCAAAAACCCACCCAAATACGTAAATATCAGCAGGTGCTTGGCCGGGGGGTGGGTGAATCCACGAATCCAAGTTCAAAAAGGGATCCTGGCGCCCATTGACATTCCACGTGCCGACAAACAGGGAAAGCGTCTTCCAGGAGCAGTACGAGGCCTCATCCTCTTCTAGCTTATTGCGCACAATTAAGTCCGCGTTCAATCGCGATCGATAGGCAGGATCTGGCATGAAGTTGACAGTCGTGCACCTGAAAATGGGAGAGGAAAAAAAGCACAATTTAGTAAAGCAAAGATGAAACAACCTACATCGGGCATTCTGTCATCAACAGTAATGTTAACAAAATGCGACCTGAGAGTAGGAAACCGCCACAACACACCAGGGCTTGCAAAAGGTAGGTTGCTCTCACATGTATCAGGTCTCTGATTGTGGCGATTTAACAGACAACAACTGTCTGACTGGAGAAGATATTGGAGCAGTGGATGTCTAGTCTGCGAGACCTTATCAACTAGCTTTAGGCTACTAAAAAGACAAACATCTCCACACACACACACACACAGCAGAGGCTCACAATGCTGCCACTAGGTCCGATATGCAGTGGAATACATGTAATATTTATCATGTTATTTCTGCATTAGCCTTCATTTTACTATACTGATTTTGTCAGAGCACTGTTTAACTTCCCCAATAGTGGTATGCGACTGTATTTGTTGCCTACATTTACTGTATATTTTAATTACTGTGGCAATATTTATTGCCTAGGTTAACCGCAATATAAATTCACTTCACCGGATTGGCTTTGTTGTTCTTCGGTTACGGCACGCATAGCCACTATTGCTTATGCCTGTGTTATTTACAATACACCTATAGTGTAGAGACAGCACCAGACAACAAAGAGGATATAAACAGGGCGCGATTTCATTTGCACTACGTCTTACCGCCTGTCTTTTTGATAAATCTCCTTGCCCACAGGGAGTCCTGTAATTGCACATTTAGTAAGATCAGAGAGGCTCTAAAAAAGAAGCGCAAATGAATGAGAATTCAGCCAACAGGTAGTCTGGAATAGTCATTTTTTTTCAATTCAGGAAACACGTTTATCAGAGGTCTGGCTAGCAAAAAAGAAGGGGGACATTTTACAGAGGGCAAATTCAATTCAGCAAATTTAATGCAGAGGCGAAACTTAAAAAGCAGCCAAATGATTGCCCTCGTTACATTTAAAAGATGGATAATTACAACACGTTTAGCAGGGAAAATTCACTTACCTCAGATTGGAGCTGGAATTCACAGAAAGCGCGTTAAATACACTTGATTTACTATTGTGGGAAATAGGAAATTACTGCGCCGAGTACTTAAAAAAAACAAAATTCACCGATCGCCACCTACATAAATTACGACTAGCTCAGATGCAGTGAGTGAGGGCACGAACTCACGTGTTACCAACAGCGAAAATTTGGTGGCTGTCTGGTGAATCAGAGAAACCAGTCTGTTTAATGACTGAGGTCGTTCTCTCTATTTACCCGTAGTTAGTTTATGGGAGAAAAAAGCTAGCAGTGAAGAACACATTCCTTGTGCCTAAAGTCACGTGTACCGAATCTACGGAGTAGACTACGTACAAAGAACTAACGCTGGTAAACCGTAGTCTCCAGATCCCTCAAAAACCTACTACAATACAGGAATTGATGATATCGCATTGATTACATGTGAATTTATGTTAAAATGACGAATAAATCAAATGTAATTTCGGTTTGCGGGTAATTTGAAGGAATGGTGAATGTGTACTTCCGAAGGAGGCGATGTGTTTGGCCTAAGTGAGAAAACCTCCAGAATGACGAAAACGTCGTCGATCACACTGGCATCAAGACTGTTCGGTGGGGCCTCGTCTGACGCCCGCATTTTAATGGCTATTGACACGTTGTGCTTCGATGCATGCGTTTTCGGGTTAAAATGCACATATAACTGTTTCAGAGCATTTTCAATTCGGCACTGGCTCAATTCTGATCACGGGTAAGTTTAAGTAAGGAAAATTACTGGCTACCTACAACTGATTCCTCGTAAGTGCAATTAGAACAAACGAATCGGTTTATTTCCCTTGCTTGAATATATGATTCCTCAACTAAAATTAGTCCTGGAACTCACTTTACACCTTGAAGACGACCCTAGATTGACCAATCATATCCGATTAAATGAGGGCGATAGTCTGAACTGGAGTGCACTTTAGACAACATCGATGAAACCGAATCGAGGCAAAGTGTTGACTTAAAAATAGATCGAAACTGTCATTCATGTATTTCATTTGAAGCTGTACATCCCGTCTAAAGAAGCCCTGAGAACAATGCGAAAAGAGACTGACTTTAGAAGGGAGGAATTTTATGAATAAAAAGTAACACTGCTCGATGACCTCTCAGTGACTCTCATTAACAACCCTGGCCCCTATTGACCGTTCTCGACTGCTTTCGTTTGACTGCTTCTGTGGCCGGCAACTTGGAATTGTGGCTTCTGAGTGATTGAGTCGATTTAGGCGTGCTCCACCTTCAAATTTAATTATTTTATATGCAGCTGCATTTATTGTTTTTTTTATTTTTCGACCTCTTCTCCACCGTCTCTGGCTCTTCGCATGTTCGTTCAAGCAATGCCAAATTTGCGATAGACTAGACGTTGTCTGCAGTTTAAAAAAAACTAACCTCGAGAGACTGATGTCAACAAAAAAGGAGCTACAAATAGGTTAGAGGAGGCAAATGAGACATCAGTCCCCGAGATACCTTAGTTCATTTACATCGATAGCTTTGCACTTTAGTGATGCCATACCGGTTATGGCTAAGAAGGCAACTCTGCACGACACACGTAATATCACCGAGGCGCCACAGCAGCAGTAAACAGTGCGACTTAAAAATTACGACTTACTTCGGACATTCGTGGCGCCGCCCTTGCACCGAGAGCGAATTTCGCAGCTGCAGTCATGAGAGCAGTCGAGGTCTCGTCTAGCGAACAGTCGCCCGTCTCCCAGTGAACAACCTCCTCTGCCAACGCCTCCTGACCCTGGTCCACCGTCTCCCCTCCACCGTCTCTCTCAGCAATACGATCCAAGGATGGCACCGACACAGCCCTCTGGTGTTGTTGCTGCAGTTTTTGAGGTAAATGGCCCGCATTTTCGTCGTCGTACAGGCTTTCGGAGGAGGTGGAAGGAGTGAAAGAGTCCGGCGAGACTGAGACACTGTCGCCGGCTTTGTTTGCGATATCATTTGAACTCTGGATTCCATGAACAGGTAGACTAGAATCTAGGGCAACTTGAGCGTACTTTCGAGTAATGTCCATTCTTAAGCAAGAAACAAACGCCATGTTAGGCGGCAGGACATCGGCCCCATGGCTTAATAATTATGCCTTTGAGAGTCTTTTGACAAGTACACAACTAGTTGCTGGAGTGTTTTACTCGATGGAGGTTAGATGTAGGATAAAATCCAGGAGAATACTTCATAAACCACTTTAATATCTACGTTCTAATTTACATCAGGACTTAAGATTTACCAGAAGGGTTGATATGAGACAGCTCCAGAATGATGATCCATTGACAAATCAAATAATTGGTGATGCGTCTTACAACAGCGCAAACGCAATTCGTAGGATGGATCATAAAAGAGGCTGAAAGTCACTTCGAGAGGTCGCAGTCACATGCCTCGCAAATCAGTTACATAAACTGCTACGCGTGCTTCATTGGTCGTAGAACTTGATTTAGGCTGTCTGCGTTAAGAACCTGCACGATCCATGAGCCTAAATCACCAGCATGTGCTGGGGTACAGCGTGTACCTGGGAACTGTCCACTACAAACAGCGACGGTGAACACACAAAAACCACCAGTGCCACAACCAGCAGCAAGGGCAAGGTTTTGCTTAAGGGAGTAGGAAATTATGTAGTATACATAAGACCCAAAGTAAGCCCAGTAGTTAAGCATTTTCTGGGTACATACAGGAGGAGCGTGTGGCTGGAATGCGTCTTTTGGTGTCTCGTCCGGCGGAGGTTTGGTTATGTTAGGGGAGTTCGTCAAGACAGGCATTTTTGGATATTGGATCATGAAATTACTGAAAATACCAACTCGTAATTTAAGAAAATGATCTTCTTGCAAAAGTTCTCAAAGAGTTACTAAAGACCACCGGAAGTGACACCTAGCGCATGACTTGGCTACAGACATTTACCGGTACTTGTCCAACCAATTCTCTGAATATGCGGTGGATGGGGAAGACGACGAGTGGAGGGACACTTGGAGAGTCAACTCAGTGCAGAACTGCGTGGCCTTAGTTGCGTCATCAAACTCCAGTGAGAGGGAGCGAACATGAGCCTGAATAAAAATAAAAAGTTTAATTTCCAAGGTCAATGACTATTCTCGTATTCTTTAACGTCAGAAAGCTAGACTAAGGGAAATCGAATCGACTACTAAGAACATGTTTCGGTGAACTAGGCTGATTCGAGTCTAACCAGCACATACAAAGAAGCACCTTGTTCACGATATGATAAGCCCAAAGTTTTCTGCCGCAACCACTGTAACAATCAATGTAAAATAATGCGCATCCCGTATCGGTGCAACGTGAATCCCGTCAATAAAAAACCTGGAATGTATTCGTCTTTAATAAGACACTTGAAATACCAATAGGGATCAAGTAAAACCAGCCAAGCTCCACAATTAAAATCACGGAAGCACTAAAACATTTGTCTTAAAGACCTATTGACAGCGGGGACACTGCCGGATTTTTGAGTCAAAATTGACACCGCCTTGACTCCGATTGAGCCCAGTCTGCGTCACGACAGCAACATGACCACGTCGGTGCTGGAATGACGCGCACAACGAACACCCACTTTCCGAGAGGAATGGCATGACCCCCGGGATCATCGCCAACCACCAGGCCTGCCTCCTTCGGCGACCTTGGCTATCATCGACTTTCTTGACCTGTGCATACATTGCCGAGAATAAACTGCCTATGATTTAACCAAAGGCGGGTTAGATAAATATGCCCTTAATATGCTAAAATCAAAACGATAAAAACTTTTTGCTAGTTCTCAAAGACCAAATAAGTGTAAAAGCAACGAGATCTCCAAAGGGTGGGTCTACTTTTCGAGCCAGCACAGTCAGCATTACAAAGTTCAAAATTTTAACACCTGCAAAAACACCCCGTACTGCAGGACTATGCTCCGAGGACCTTAATCAACGCATTTATATACCTTGCTGAGATATCTGGTGGTTTGATTAGAAGCAACACTTTAAAGACTCTAGCATTTTGAGTAGGACACAACAACTATGTGCATTACAGCGAGTATTTACTCACTAGGGGGGGTTTACGCAAAATTGAACAGCCAACAACAGGTGTTTAATTATCAGCCCACAACCACATCAGCGTTAAACGGAAGAATTACCAATGAAATTTCTTTTGGAATTCATTTTTTAACTAAAACGGTCGTAAAAATGTCAGTGCTAGTGACAGGTATGTTATAAAATCAGCCCCGTAGTAATCAATACAAATGACATGACAAGGTATGGTCATTTACTTAAAAGCACTGTTTTCAAGACCTTGAATTGGTCAAATTTACAAATTTAGACTGCGATTTGATGGAGCAGCTATTAAATTGTCCCTTTCGTCAGGGTCGAGGCATGCCACAAACTCACGTCGCGCGACTTTTGACCCAGGCTGTAGATCACCCCTTGACTGATTTCAAATTGAGTAGTTGTTGACAGTTTTTGGACTAACCAGAGTTTAAGTTAAACAGGATATGCAAAAAACATTCCAATTGAATCATCCCTACCCTCGCACGTTAAAGCATATGCGCTCAAATTCCTGCGTCGTAGACCTCCAAAATCATTGTCACGTCATTAAACAGTTGGTGACCACGGTAAATACCGACCAACTGTTGCCTAACTACGGATTGAAGTTAATAGTTGAGGAGAATGGAGACTTGCTCATACTTATTACAGGCAGCGCAATTATGACAATCAAACCCTCTATTTGTTGAGTTCACACCTAGGTGTGGGCCAATTATAAGATATTTGATATTCGGTTGTTACAAACTCCGTCTAGATTTGGTGCATGACCTGTCTCTACTGATTTGAGCACAGGATCGTACTGAAGCAAGCATTGGGACGTACAAGCGCAGCTATTGAACCTTCTAAGCTACTAAGGAAACAAGGTAAAACAGGACAATAAACCTCCTCCCAGCATATACCCCACACTGAAGACAATCTATCCATAGGCACAGCCGGACCAGATAGTTATCAGCATTTTTTTATGGCACAAAGTACATTCACACTGCCAGATTGTAGCGCCAAGCCAGTAACTCTGATGACTTCGGCACGCTAATGCTATCACTTTGGGTTTGTGGTACTTGATGAGACGTCCATGGACCATCTGTCTATAGATCGGTCCAGAATTCGAAGTCACTGTCCGTCCACTTCCACTCTGACCTTACGACAAGTTATTAGAGAAGCAAAGCCTATGTATTACATATTATCGTTCCCACGTTTCCTTACACACACATAGAAAATGAAAACCTACTGGGATTAACGACTTATAGGTAGAATATGTTACCATTAGTAAACACTCTCGTATCCGCATTTAGACAATCGTAAAAAGGCCACAAGAAATTACTTATCAACTTACGCGTTTTCGATTGACACTTTTTAAGGAACTTTCATCTCCAACGACCACCGATACCGGTCTGCGGGACCTCGATGATATAGGGCTACGTAGAGACACCGTCTCAGCGGATTGAGCACTGACTGAATGAGCCAAAGTTACTCTGGCGAAGTTAAAATTCGCGTGTCGAGAGGACAGATCCCTTCCAGTAATTTGTAAAACAGTTGATTTGCTTGGATCTAAAATAACACAAGGTAAACATCTTCATCGATTCTAGGAGTGGTTTTTTTTTCAAAAAAAAAGATTTTGGAATCTTCTCATAAAGTGTGAAATCATGAAGATTTCGACAACCCAAAAAAAGCTAAACTCAGATTGAGCTCCGATTACGGCAGTTGTATGGCTAATTAGTGAGATGTCAGGCCGGACTAACACGTTCACTCAAAGCAAGTATCTTACCCGATTCGCAAGTTAATATGTCATCAACTGCAAGAATTTGATCAGTCGTAAGGTAACTGACCGCTGTCTCCGAAATCCGTGTTCCCGCGAAGATAAACAAACTAGATATTAAAAACAGCATTACAATACTTGCAAACTTCGGTTTTTAGAGGCAGTAACTTGCAAAATCGGAGCCTGTCTGGTTTCTCCTACAGACACCGACTCAGCTATAGAGTAGACGAATGAAGCCACAATAGAGGCTAATTTCTCAGCCATACGTCGATGGTGACGAAGCACAAATCACAAGGTTATTTCTTTACTAACGTGTGGCGGTGGCACCCAAAACAGCCTGTGTAACGATGTCTTCTATATGTCAGTCAACAGACTAGACGAATGGGCCTTAAACAAGGTCTGCGTTCGTGGACACTCCAATCCAATCAGTAATAAAGTGTAGCCCCCGACGCGACTACCGTCTTTACAAAGAGAGCGGCCTAAGGGTTAACACCAGCTTCATCCTTGAACGATCGGCAACCCAAGTGCATAATTTTGAAGTTGTATCTAGGACGAAATTTGTGCAAAATTGTCTACACCTGTGGTACAGTCATAGTGAATTACAGAAATCTGCCGGAAAACATGACCACTTTAAATCCCAGGCCGAATCGTCACAAACTCGGTTTCGTTCTCCCAATCATAATCTAACACAGGTATTGTAGTTTAGATAAGCTCTTTCGTTACATCGATTGACAATTTTGTAGATAGATTTTATTCAAGACTAAACTTCTTATAAGGAAAATGATTTTACCGCATCCTAGAAAAGCGAATGCATACATGAACTAAAGACTGCTACACAAATCTTCACATGCTATATTAAAAGGAGTATGGCACCTCCAAATGACACTTGGAGAAATCAAACAAGAACAACTAATTCATTAATATATAACAAGTAGCATCTTTGTGAATCTAAAATAGAAAACTACATATTCGAGGTTACAATATTATGAGGTGGCTTACAAAAAGCAATTTAAAACCTAAGGCTGTTTGAAAAAATTTACAAACACTCTCTACCATGACTGGCTTGCAGTAAACCGGTACCAATTTTAAAAATTTGATGTGCACAACAGATGTGGTCTAGAGCCCACCCAGTATCTTCAAAGCTGTCCACGAAATACTTAACCAGACTGCCACTATGAACGTAAAAATGAGGTAAACGTACACGGTCTCTTGGGTTTCTTCGCTGCGTATAAGGGCCACTATTCGAGGCAGATTCACCCACTTTTGCACAACGGTAACTTCATAAGCCTTAATTATACAGAAACATTGGTATGTTACATATGATTGCGTCAAAACGGCTAGTAAGGGCAAGTTATTAAACCAAAAGTATGAAACATTTAAACGATCTCGAAATTAAAGGTAAAATATCAAACTTGAAAAGCCTCGACTGTCACCATTACCCTTCACTAAAAACTGGATGGACATTGCGCCCACCGAAAGCAATTAGGTCCAGCACTGAAGTGACGTAATTATATTGGAAAATCGGTTCATAAGGAGTGTTGAATTGTATATGCGATTACGTTGCACATTGTAAAATTTTAGACATGTGTAGCCACTCGAACTAGACTTTAATGCAGAAGTTAGTGGAGAGCAATAAAATGTACTGAAGGAACTTGTTACGCTTTCGAAATTATCTAAGAAAACATCGTTATAAAGTTTTCAATAAAAAAGCCCAAAGGAGTCACAACAGTTATGATTCAGTAATAATAAAGGTTTTTGTTTACAGGCAAGCAATGAACGCCAAGATATTCACACAAGCATGGTATATATGACTGAGATTTGCTGTCTAAAAAATAACCACAGAATGACAAAATAAAGTAGAATAGCCACTGATGGAGTTGCTTTGTGAAGCTACAAAATAAAAGCTTCTTCAGAAAACTCGAACTTCAAAGAGTAATGATAATACAACAATTTTACTCTAGTTATACAGGGATTTTGTACAGACCTCAAAATCAGGGAGGTTTAAGAACGAGGGTAATGCGATTTTAATATTAACGTAAATGACAACAAACTCTAAACGCAGAGGTTCGACCACGCAATCTGACCATAGTTCAACACCAACATCCACAATAAATATACACTTCGACTATTTAATAGAAAAAACGAAGTACCATTTACTGAAGGTACACGATTTACGTACAACAATACAGGTCTCCGGAGCTTGTGCACTTTCTGCACCCTGCCTCGTTTTCAAGTTAAGATATTCCTGAATAACAAACGCAAAATCCTTTCCGCTAGTATCCATAGTAAGGGTTATCCCTGATGCTGATTAAAATAATGCGAAAAGCCAAATGCCTCGCAGCCTGTCGACTTTAACTTCCATGGGCAACATTTAGATCACTAAAAAAACTTTATCACCAAATAGTTTTAAAGATACTACAGAAATAATAACTTTTTAATATAAAATTGATATCCTTTTGTCCTTATTAACAAGGCTAAGATAATCCATTCATTATTTTGAAGTTTAATCCACTTCTAATTAGAGTACCCCTGGATAAATTCCAGTACTATGTTTTCACTGGCTGTGCTTGTCAAGTTCCGAAAATGTATAGCAAAAATAACAAAATGGCTATCCGAATTGTATGTGAGTTATTACCGCTCTTCCGATTGTTCATATGTTAATGCCGAAATCTATTGTCCCACTTTCTTGAAGCATGTAAAATGTTCGTGATTCTTGAACATGCACACTTTCTTCTTCTTTATTAATTAGATATAAAATTCAATTTCCCTTCTCGATTACCACTGTTCCTTCGTGATTTTAAAGTTTTCGGTATTAATCGTTTCTATTTTTTTCCCTACCTCACTATCAAGTAAATGGAATTGGTAGTTCGCATTTGAAAAGACAACAAATGAAAAATTCGAAAATACAATTGTAGGCCGGGAGGAAAGTCTGTAGGAAATCGTGTCCCATAAATTGTTGATAATACATCTAATACTTTGTTTTGACTACTCAAAGCATAACAATAAACGACAGACTGTTTTGTAACAATTTTAGCAGAAAAAAAATCAGCCCAAACAATCAGCTCAATCAAAAATAAACTTTATTCAAGTTATTTCGCAGGTTAAGCAGAGATGCAGAAAACCAAATGAATAAAGACATCACATGATATTACGTGTGTGACGTGTGCGCAAAATTGTGATCCAAGAAAAATAGGAGGCGCTAAAAAAACTCCTATTAGCCCTCAGCTTCTGTGTTAGAATTAATTGTGTCGAAGAACATAGTTAGTGATTCAGGTTTGACCAAAATTATGCTACGACAAATAAATAATTTACTGGAGTGGATCTTTAGTGTGTTCCATATGCTTCACTGTAAAGCATAATCAGAAAACGAAAATTATTCGTTTAAATTTTGAGATTAAAACTTTTAGCAGGCTACTATAGCCCTCAAAGTTAACACATTGGTTAGACCAAAATTAAACGAAATCTAATATAGAAAAAAGAAGGAAGAGATAGGTGTCTAAATGCAGTCTAATTTCATCACTCGGATTTATCTGCAAAAATATGACAAATCATTAATATACTCGAGTAAGCCCGAGAAAGTCTCCTTTTCAAATATTTAAAAAATTCATTTGAAAATACTCACTTTACTTGAGAGTTAGCGATTTATTAAGAGCATCTTCTCGAAAAACGTTACCCATCACTTGGTAAAATATCACTAAAAAGTCGCGTTAAATTTATGTGGCCAGGCGTTGTCGCTATAGTTAAAATTCCGAATAATAATATCCTTTAAATTTTTATACAACGCGCTGTAAAAAAAGCAAAGATTTCGTTTTTTTATTTGTCTGATTTATTTAAATCAGCGGGTTTGACAATTCGATATTGTTAATTCTGTCGTTGCACTTTTGTGCGAGTCAGCTGAGAGTGCTACTTTGGGATGGAAAACCCTTTTTCTCGGCTTTCCGATATGCACGGGACCTCAGATTCGCATCAGATGTCCGCGAACCAACGTTTAGCTAGCGAGGTCATCGAACGGATTTTTTTGGTCTCATCCAAAAGACGTATGTCATTCTGTTCTTTTCATGTCTACGTTATTTTGGATCATTGATTAATAATTGAATTATTTATGGTCTCCTCTTCGTCTAGCCAACAATTTATGTACTAAAAATCTTCGGATTTTAATGCTGGTCGCCTATTTATGTGTATTTTCGTTACATATTTTCTTTGAAGTGAAATCTAAGGCTTTCATGAGGTGGTTGAATAGCCTTTTTGTGAGTGCTCTCTTAAATATCCCTCCTTGACAGTGCACCCTACCCACTTTTGCATTCCTTGTCTGATGTAATTGGAAAACTAAACTGCGTGGTAAACACAACTTTTCGTTTTTTTTTTCAACGTTTTGGTTTATTCCTCGTATGGTGTGTCATAAGTACTGCTTAGTTCTGTCATTGATCTCTAATTCATTTTGTACCAAATGCGTTTTAGCAATAATAATTTTTGTCCAAGAATTCTGCGTAGAGCCATTTGTCGCATGTTCTGACTGTACCTCCCTTTTCTATTACCTAGGATCTTCGAATCTACAGTCTTCACTACTCATAGACGATGCTTTAACTACATCAGATGGCTATTTTACTATTGAATGCTTAGATCAGGTAGGTACATTTTATTCTTCAATTAACCCGGTGTACTTGTAGCTTCTATTCGACAGGTTGCACCTCGAGGAGATTCCACCTGAACGCATTTGCCCTAGAATGTCCTCTCTATCCGATGCTGCGTTTCAGCTCGATCCAATGTCTTATCTGTTTGAAAGCTTCTGTCGTTCTCTTCCGTTTACAAATTCGAATGTATGTTCAGACGTATTACACATTGTAGTCCCAAAGAATTGGCCTTATTAAGATGTCTTTCTATTCTTTAGCAGGAACTTCATGTAAACACCGCTACCGCATGCCAAAGTCAAATATTCGAACAAGCTGCACTTTGTCTGCTCTTAGATGTTGAAATGGAAGTGGATAACGCAGCGGCTGGTCTCCTCCGCCTTCTCATCTCATCCACAGACAGGCAAGGTATGCTTGTATATGCCTTTAAATGTTCATAATAAAAGTTGTTACTTGGTAATTTACAGTCGATTTTGTTCTTATAAAACGTGACATTTTCGCCAGATGGACTGTTGCCTCAATTTTTAGGTAAGTGGGTTCCTTACTACCAACTTTCACGCAGTTGGTTATTTCAGCCTCCCAAAATGCTCCGAAATTTCAGAAATCTTTATAGTATTTTTATCTTCTACAACACGATTTAGTGCACAAATTTTCTACGGTTTACTTGGTTCTGTTTATGTTCCTGAGTGGTAATTAAAGGTGTGGACCATTCTGCTTTCTCCCCACTAGCTGGTTCGGAGGATGTCTTCACTGTGGATGCCTTTCTATCTGGGGTCGTGTCTGCAGAACCTGCTGTCAATCTAATTAATCCTCTTCGACCCCTTTTCAAAGGATTGTTAAAAGAACTGGAGTCCCTAGGAGGTGACTCCATAACTCCTCAACCGATTAACTCCATCCATCAAGTTATCCAGCAACTGACCCAGCAGAACGACCATCCGTCTCCAAACAAAAGAGCTCGTCTTCTTTTTCAACCAGAAAGAGATTCATTGCTAAACGCATGCACTTTGTTGGCAAAATATCCCGCCACCGCTCAAGTAAGTAAATGTCTTTTGCTACATGCCACCTGTCCTGTGTATATGCCGTCAAAACATTCTCCATAAGGAGTAATTTAGTTTCCATTGTGGATTTTTGAGTTTAGCACACATTGTGCCTGGAATTCCCTTTCAATGTTGTTGATTATTTCACCTCGTTTTTTGTTTTGTTTTAGCTTCTGCTTGAGTTTTCGTTTCCCTCATCCGGGCCTATATCCCAGGAGGGGTGGAAGTACGAGGAAGGTATTCTGGGCCGCTTTCTGATCTCAAGTCCTCTGCTACCTTTACAATCTATTCAAACTTCGCTTCTTGAATGTAATACTGGTGGGAACTCGTGGGCGGGGGAGTTTTTTACTGACCAGATCCCCATAAAGCCCTCGGTAGATGCTGATAAATCTACTATTTGGAGGGTGAGTTCGAGCCCCTTTCCCCAATTCCTCGCTTCCACTCCAACGATGAACTGTTGATTTGTGGCCACTACTTAGAAGGACTAGAGTGAATTATGACATTTTAATTCCTTTTAATCGCAAATCATGGCAGGAAAGTTACCAATATTGCAGCACGCCAACCGCGTGTGGTATAAGAATTAAGTAGTTGTTGCGGATCGCTAAGGCCCCAAGAAGCCTTAGATTTTTTGATATTTTGTCTTCAAGCCTTGATTCTTGATCTGTATTAGCAATAGTAAATTCTGTCTTTTTAAAGGTAAACCCCATTATGCTTATAAATTTTCCAAAGTCATTGTTATCTTTTGCTTTTACAAAGAAGTCCTCTTGATTGGGGGTTTTCTTTTGCTTTGGAAACAATTAATTTAAGTGCATATTTGTCTGTTTGAATTCTGTTGTGTCCCATCTCCGCATTTCCGCTTTAGTTAGTCTTGGTGGTAATCATTTCCTTGTAGCTCACCGCCGAGTTGGATGACAAACTCACAGTGTTGTTCCAAAATCTCCTTCGCACCTCCAAACAATCCGACGCTGTCAAAACCTCCCTTTTCTCCTGGCTTGGTTCTTGCCTCCACGCCAATCGGGCTAGAAAACAGCTTGCCAACACCATTGGTGGGCACAATGAGCGACAGCAGAACTCAGACTTGGCGAGCGACGGTTTCCTTAATAACCTAGCCGGCCTTCTTGTACAACTCTGCAAACCTTTGTTATCGGCAAAGGCATTTACGTCGAGTCTCTCAGATGCACCGTGGAATCTCGTGAAGCTGGATTATGCGCTATCGGATAAAGCTAAAACTATCCTGCCAGGTGAGATTTTTCATACACATAAATTTCTTATTACGCCTACCACTGGTTTTCGTTGTAAATGTCTGGATGTAAACTCGACTGGTTTTTACACCACGCGTGCCCGTTATTCATATTGACTGTTAATTAAATGGTAACCATTTGTGTGCCAATGAATGTACGTTACAGGTGGAACGCCCAAATGAATATTGAGACGAATATCGACTCAATAAAAGTGTGAATAGTTCTTTGTTTAGTGCATCAATGTTAGGGTAATACTCCAGTCCCTATCGATTTTGTATCTTGTAGTGGAGTAAGCCCAAAATTAATGTTAGACCCATATGGGAGGGAGCAGCCCTCGTCTTTTCGGCCCACATAGTTTGTTCTTCCCTTCAAACCGACTAATTATGGATTTTTTTATGTTTCAATTTCATTCCCGGAAATGTAGATGTAATTTCATCATTTTCAAAATTAAAAGGTGTCCAAAATATACGAATCTCAATTTTTCCGGTAGTAATTGATAGCAAGGTTTAAATTAACCCTGAATATGAGTCCTTTTCTCTTTAGTATTTTCGAATGTTATGTTTTAACAGCTATGTAAATTAATTTCAAATTCTCATACCCACCGTCTTTCAAATAAATAGTGCATTTTTTTGCAACAAAAGTTGTTATTCGTGTCTTCGCCACGCCACCCCAATATCATGTAACCTTGTACACAGGCCAACCAGCCAACATTAACCTTTACGCTTAGAGCACGTGGATACCTTGTTGTAGACTTGGCTGGCGAAACTAAGTTGAGTCGTCATCAGGCGCCGTCGTCCAGTCTGTCGCCGGAAGCGACCTTCCCAGTTCTGACCGAACTCTTCTTTCTTGCGCATACCTCACTTCGCCTCGCCTTCCCACCACTCCTGGCGCTCCACTTCGAGACGAACAGGCAACTCCACCAGTGGGAACAAGAGGCCATGATGCGCTCTCCCAACGGACTCTCTCCCTTCATGGCAGGGCCTTTGGCGGCCTCAGACGACTCTCACGAGGGTGAGCATTTTAAAACATTGCACTCCGTCATCATCTTGTGCTCCGCGGAGTTAGTTCGGGGTACTAGGTCTGAAACGTTCAGTACAAAACGTCCCCCCGGCAGATTTAGTCAAAATTTTGTTTTAAATCCTGATGCGATTTAACACTGCCGATAGCTCGTGTGTTTATACAAGATTTAAGGCGAGTGAAAACGCGAACATTTTTTATAGAATTATGCTTGCTAACTAAGAATTATTTGTGTGGAGTTATATTACTCCTTTTAAACGCAGACTCAACAATCCTTCGCCTAATTTTACTTAAAACTTACTAGTGAAGGACTATTTCGTGAATCCCACGGAAGCATGTTACTATTTGTAATTTCGTAAAGCCAAAATTGACTAATTTAAGTCCTCTACTTCCACGTGCATATTTTATGTTTGAATGTCTAGTAATCACATCTTATATTGGTAGAATTATGCGTGCGACCCTCAAAACATGGCCAATTTCCTTTCACTCACGTTCGGGAAATTTATTTAGCGCTTGAATTAACGACCTGCTTAAATTCTAAATGTTATGATAAATCTGACTGTTTTCTTCCCCAGCATTTAGATGTTTGTTAGGGCCAAGAAGTTTACTATGGGCTTTTTATCCACGAATCAGAATTTAATCAAGCCGATTTGGTTTTTTGTGAGGGGGGGGGAGGGTAACAGGTTTTTCAAGGTACTTATCATCTTGCATTTCAAACCACTCAAACTGTCGCGCTCAGGTCGCTTCATACACTACTGTCTGCGCGAACGGACGTCGCGGTTCCTGGAACAGACAGCGATTCTGGGCTGCCCGAATCGGCTGCACAATTACCTCGCTTTCGTCGCCTCCACCTGTCGTCTCTTGGTTGAACTTGCTGCAAAAAATCCCACCGCGCTCTCCCTTGTGCCCGAATTAATCGTCGATAATGTTGTGGAGGTTATTGGTTACCTGCGTCGTCTGAATGATGACTTTATTGAGGTATTTTGCACACTACTTACCACAGAGATTGTGTGTTCTGTGTAACTCACCACTGCTTTCTTCCTAAATTGTAGTCAGCTGATGCATCTGACATCAGCCTTGAGCCTTTGCTTCAATTCTCAGTAGCCTTTATGAGGCACACGTCGGCTCTTGCGAACCCCCACCTAAGAGCACGTCTAGCGGAGATTCTCGAGACACTCATTCCGTTTCGAGATGACGAAGAATGGAATAGCAGGCCTAATGGGTCAAACCTGTTCACAGTCTCGGGTTTGGGATTGTACGTAACCCCAATTCCTTTAGTCTTTGCAAAAATATGGTTTGCAAGTCACGAGGTCTTCCTACTCCTTGTACCTTCGTTTATCCAGGCTGAGCTGAACCCCACGGCACATTGCTCCCAGCAATGTAGACCACATGTTATTATGAAGTTGTATCAATAGTATTTGGTGACTGAATAATAGCCCGCAGTGCCCTGAAGTATTCGATATCTCTTAGTATATTTAGATTTATCGTTGTGTTCGACTAGTGTAATTTGTCGGTGCACAAACCCTTCACTACCATTCCTAAAGGTCCGCTGGCTCTCAGTGGTAGTTATTATGTACTGTTTGAGTATCCTTTAAGTAACAACGACCTATTCAAATTTTAAGTCTGGTGAACTACTGCCAATGACCAGTTACTCGGTGTGATAGCTCTGTAGGCTGAAAAATGACGTTTCGTGGTTCTCGATTCTTTTTCAGCACTCGCCGAGAACAGCTGATGTCCAACCCGAACGACCCCTACTTGAAGGAAACGATAGCGGCCTTGCTGACCGCCTTTGTGGCAATCGAACTGGCGCCGGGCACGGACGCCCCCTCCTCCACCCTAGACACCGTCACCGGGGCTGCACGCAACACCGAAGGCAATGCTGGTGCCAGTCAGCAGGAAATCGTTCAAACGGCAGCAGTGAGCTTCGAGGAGAAATTCCACTACCGCCGACCCATGTACGCGTGCTTCCGCTTCTGGTATGGGAAGCCAGCTTACGACTCTCAATTCAAGGTGTGTGGGTGTGTGTGTGTGTGTGCATATATGCGCGTTCTGGTGCGTGGTCACGTGCTCAGGCGTTTCTCCGAATCATTACTCATAGGGTATAACCTTAATCCATCCCCACCTCTTCAGCCTTCTGATGCCTCAAGTAGCTCTTGTGTAAAGTTGACGCAGTGACTTCGAAGAATTTAGTCTAGTATCGACAATAACTTCTGCACAAATTAAAAAATCGAAAACCTTACCCAACTACGGTCCCAACTCTCGTGTTCTGCATAAACACGAACTACGAAGGAGTCACAAACAACTTCAAAACTGATTGGCAGCAAGTCAACTTGTGGCATTTTTTTGACAAGTGCCTTTAAATCGGATCCCTTTTGTGTTTCGTTGTTTAATTTCTCTACATTGACCCCGGGAAATACTGTTATCGCATTTGGTCATCGGAGTCTCGGCCTGAGGTTCACCAAAAGACCGCGCGACTTGCGTTACTTTCGCTCGTTCTCTGCATCAATTTCTAGCGGCATCGGCCCATGTCGCAGTGGATTTTAATTACAGCACTTGAGATTTATTGTGTATCGTTTTTATTTACACCCGAAAATGCCCCCTTTTCACCTCATGCTGTCGGCCATGGGGAACCTCGACTCACACTCGTTAGCACTGATGTGATAATATTCACCGAAGTCTCGATGTTGATACGTCTGCGACTCACGCACATTTGAGCTATCTGGTAACGGTTGTATCTGCCGTTTTCGGTCTGTTTCATCATCGCGGATATTAAGGCAACGTAATTCAGCTAAATTGAACTCAGCGGCCCTAGCTTGATTTGAGATCACTTACCAGGGCTCACAAGAGATTATTTTAGCGCGTATTTCCTTCACTTCCTTCTTGCACCGATTTCAGTTCAGTTTAAATCATATCTTACGTATCATGCATTTCGGATACTGCCGTGTGAGTGTGTAATGATCAATGTGAATGGCATTCGTCAATTGAACTTTTAGCAATTGGAGGATCTTGCTGTGAAGCACATTGACGATGCCCGTCCCCCACTGCTACTTCAATTTCTATCCCTCCTCATTAACGATGCAACTTTCCTCCTCGACGAAGCCATTGGATTCCTGGCCCAGCTGAAGCTAAAGGAACGCAGTCGAGAGGCTGCTGGTGGCAGGTACCTTGTCTTGTGTTTCCGTCACGCTTTTTTTCTTAAAGGTTCCCTAACCGCGAGGATGAAGGCATGTTCCAGCACATGAGTCGCCTTGCAAAGTATCACATCAGCCTTGGACTGGACAACATATCGGCCTTGCGGCGGGTTGTGTCCTTATGTCCGCGTTTAGTTACGCACCCGGTTCTTGTTGACCGGATTGCCTGCATGCTCAACTACTTCCTCTCTCGATTGGTATGTCGTGTTCAAAATACGCTACCTCGCGACATGGAAAGCAAACCGGCAGCTTTGTACACTTGCCAAATTTTCATACCGTAGGTTGGCCCCAAAAGCCGCGAGCTGACTGTTCGGGACAAATCGACGTATGGCTTCCGACCGGAGCTGTTTGTTCAAGAGATCAGTCAAATATACGTCATTCTGGGTCTCAACGATCAGAGTGGGGAAGGTAAGCTGCATTTTTTCCTGCTGGTAGCATATTTCAGCACACTTTATAGGGGTTCTTCTTAATCTGCGACTTCTGCTTTAACTTGAGTGGCAGTGTGACGTCATTATCATTGGTGATGTCGCATGCCTCTACGTTTCCTTTACCACACTTTCATCTTGAAGGAAACCGATTCCAAAATAACACTAAACTGCATTGTCGCCTGCTCCATGTGATCTCACATATTCCATGTTTCAATTGCGTTTGTCATGTAAATCGACGACAATTTTAACCACCTTTGACGAGTGCTGAATTTTCACGCATCCCATCTCACTAGATTCCTGTGGACTCACCTGACACCCTCAAAGTAGCCATCGCGAAACCCGCTAATCTGTGTGGATTCACAAAAATGTTCATTGGTTAATAAATTGCAACTTAAGCTCTAGCGCTCGTCTTTTCACACTTTCCTCTGCTCCCTAGATATCGGCCCTATTTGTATGCGGCAAATTGCTTAGCTCAGTGGTTTGCAGCCTTACTAGTTACCAAAAGAAATCGTTTCTTTTATGACAACCGGTGGGCAGTTTTTAATGCTATGTTGCACCCACGCGCCAGTACCTTCTTGTTTTTTTGCCTTTTCATTATGTACTGACTGAATGACTAGCAGAACGCTCCCACTTTGAAATATGTCTACATTCATAAATAACTTACATACGCCCACTTTGGTTGGAAAATCAACCCTTTATTACTCAGGAGCATTTTATAGACCATCGTGCTCCAACATTTCTGACACGGAATTGACGTCATCGCGTTTTTACATCAACGTAAATTCCATTTAACTGGGTTCCTGTTCAATTTGTATCGTCGGAGTGGCACATCGGATGCTCAGCCCGCTGATTCCTTCAACGTTCTCTCGAATTACGAGGGGGTGGTTAATGCCACTCTCCCTCTAACGCATTCATCCTAATAAAAGCGAACTATTCTTAAAAACGCTGAAAAGTTGGAATCACGCTTAATTGGCTGCGTACCATTTCTTAAGTACCTGTTCACGGATTAGTCTAATCTTTCGTTAAATGTCGGAAGTCTCTTTTTTCTTGTTTAATACAGTTCATATATATATATATATAAAACTCGTGCTTCCACTTCTCAGGTGCTTGATTATTGGTTTTACCGTCTGTAAAATATTTGTAAACAACATTTACAACAGCTTCGTTGTTAAAACAGATTGACACGCCAAACCCGTGAAGAAAAGTATATGAATCAGAACGTTGGAAAACGTAAAAATCGGAACTAAAGCAACCGATAAATCAAAACTAATATGTAGGCGCTACTTAGTTTTATCATTCACATTCATCCAGGTAGAACCTATATTTACCTATAAAAGATCCTTTCAGGCGACAACTCGAACGTCGTTCATTGAATACACTAAATGTGGGTTTCTTATTGATCCCCAGACCAATGTCCAACCACTGTGGCCTTCCTCCGAGCTGTTGTGAATGATGGTCGTTCCTATACAGCGGAGCTACTAGATCAGGCGCTCAACGTCCTCAATCGTGTTTCGCCGGATCCACAATTAACCAAAAAGTTTGGTCTTGTGGCAAAAGCCCTTCGAGTAAGTTTAACACCTAATACGCGTCTAGAAGGGGAAAAGTCACTTCGGAATTTAAATGTGGCCTCGATTTGCAAGTTTTCTGGGTTTTATTGTCAAAGAGCTGATTCTGGTGTGTTGTTCATGCATTACATCCTTACTGTTAGTCACATTAGATTGTAAATTCTTCCTTAGATCGACAATATAGAATGTCCATTTACACTCTTGGCTGGACGTCTTTTAAAGAGATCATTGTTAGTATATCATCTCGCTTTAGACTGTGGAAGTTGCAGCGACGGAGGATGCCCTAGACTTCGAGGATGCTCCCGATGATTTCTGTGACCCTATTATGGGTGAACTTATGGAAGATCCCGTGCGGCTGCCTACGTCGAACAAGGTTGTCGATAGGAAGACCATCTACCGCCATCTGCTCAGGTACTTTTTAGCAGTCGAAACGAGACGGCCTAGCCCAGTGTCCCAGAATGTTAAACGCCTTTGTGAACTAGGCATGGTCTCATATTTTTTATGTCTATGTCCCACGTCCTTAAAACTGCGTATCTGTCGTATTGATGCCCAAGTATGTGGTGCTGTCCTACTTATCCGGTACTATTAGATACTGTAGGGGACCACCTGGTTAATTATCAAGATGAGGTGGGTATATGTCAATTCTAATTACTATTTTCCTTTACTTCAGTGACGCTATCGACCCTTTTAATCGACAACCACTGGAAATGTCTATGGTTGTGCCTGAACCCGAGTTGAAGGCTAAAATACAGGCCTGGGTGGCTGCCAAACGCGCGGAGCGCAGACCGACTGCTAGTGAGTAGCGGACAGACTTGTGCTGACTGTGATGGGACCCCGCCTTATTTAGGTTTATTTTACATGTGATTTAAAATAAAAATTGCATTTACTACGACCGTGTTTGTCTTAAATATTGCACCTTTCCACACAACTAACTCAGCGATAATCAACTCAAAACACATGTAGCAACGGAGTTCATCACTCGAATGTATTCTTGGTTATTAGTGATCAAGTGACTACCAAAAAGCCACTGCTAAATAGTTGGTTTTGGGTTAGAAATTATTCAGCCTTACTTAGACTAGTACAAACTACGGGGCCAAGTTATTAGAAACTGTGGGGCATTATTATGTTAGCTGAAATTGGTTCTTACTGTTATCACACAGTAATTTTCTACACACAAGTTTTCACGAACTAAAAGATTGATATAGGCATGGCTCGGAGGAACAACACCTATTTCGAGGGGATCCCGTGTTGCAAAAAATGGTATCTGACACCGAAAAACAAATTCGATCTGTAGGTGAGTCACATGGCGGCGAAATTATTGCTAATATGTCAATTAATACCTCAGTCTACAACTTGCATATGGCGGCAGGATAATTAACGGCCATTTAGTTGACTTGCATCTTGGTTAACACGATAAAAGCCTAATGACACTAAGATTATTGGGCTTGAAGTACCATCGATTAGACCCGTTCTAGGGAAAAAGAGACATAAAGGTGACAACTCAAGTCCGTGAATGAAACGAATACATATTGTAAAGGTCATGAAATTTGCGTAAGTGAAAAAGATAACTTCAATTAAATTCCTATTCCTATAGATACTACTGCAACAAAACCAAAACCAACTTATCTATTAAATAGACGGTTACTGACATATTGCACATCCAAAACATAGACGTTTAACGCTGTGAGAGTTCTCCGACGTTCCAGCATTAAAAAAGTCGAAGGAAATTACTAAAAAGCAATTTAATGTGGAAATTAATCAACAAAGGAAGTTTCTACGAATGCTTGGTCGCTTCCCCCATAGAAGGATTCAGCCGCCTTTTAACTTTCGACGATCCCTTAGAGCTTTCCAATGATATATAATGATATAGTACAACCATGCAAAATAGGAAAAGCCCGGAAGCATTGACAAATATCATAAGTTGGACGTCCGTAATCATGATTAGGTATTTCAAATAAATGCGCCTTGTGACGTTTTTAGGCAAAGAGCATACAAACATAAATACATCATGAAGCATTTTTGTTAGTATCTATGCATTTATTTTCAACTAAATTCAGAAAATCATTTAAACGATGCTAAATATTGATGTTGACAAAATATCTTGTGAAAGAATGTTATCAAAAAATGTAAATCTAAACTTAATTTGTTTATATTTGCCTTTTATTTTCTTAACTATCTCGTCAATGCTTTAAACTTTAATATGCTTTTAATCATTTACTTTTGACTAAGGTTTTTTCCTTTTACTCGAGGTTATTAAGGTTTATGGCCTTAACCCTGATTTGTCCCCAAGTTAATTAAAGTTGTGTCCTGATTATTAGTATCTACTTTTTGAACATGATGTTAATTTCACTACATTTTAAGCGCACACTTAATCAGTTTTTTGATGATTTTTTTATAATTATAGTTACGTTATTATTGACCTAATTCATGAACCAATCACACTCATTACACTCATTCTGATTATTATGCCACTGTATACGACGGGTTTCCTGCAGGTTCTATTTTTTTAATTTTGGCGGACCTTTTTAGCATTCAGAGGTTTTGTGGAAAAGTAAGCTTAGAAGGTGTCTGCAAATAATTTACTTTTGTTGCGTCTTTATTTGACGCACAAAACACTTCTTAAACATCTATCTCTTTTTGGCTGCATATCTTCCTTTAAATGCCTTTTGAACGCATAGAAATGGACGATTGGCTGAGACCAGCATGGTTTAATATGTGTCGCTCATCTACGCCCTGGCATGAGGAAGACTGGTACAACACAACAGGCTTTATTGACTCATTACAGACCGGAACAATAAGTCAGGCCCCGTCCATCCGAGTCAACCACTATGGCCACGCCGCTCATTATATGCTGCACCTTACTCATATCCTTCTCTGGTTGCCTGCTTATCTTCCTCGCGTGCTATTGGAACACGGAGAGACAGAGAATTGGCTGAGGCCAGGTGGTCCGATATGTCTGCGCGCTGATCTGTCGCAACCGTAAAATACCCGAGCCTAAGCATGAATAG